AATGAACTAGATAAAGTCAGATAATTTAATTATAAAATTTTGCTGTAGATAGTACAAGTAGTGTCTTGTTCTCATTATAATGGACAACGGTGATCTTTAGGCCTGTTGACATCCTCTATGTTATTTTGATTACTGCAACAATGGAATCATATTGGTTATATGACTTTTTTACTACTAAATGGACAATGCAAAACCAAATCCTTTTTGTGGACTAAGACCTGAGAGTCTGAAACTTAACTTGCTTAGGTATTTGAAGTCTAAGTGGATGACAGGCTAGACATGAGTCAGCAATGTGCAATCGCAGCTCAGAAGGCCAACCGCATCCTGGGCTGCATCAAGAGAAGTGTGGCCAACAGGTGGTGGGAGGTAATTCTACCCCTCTACTCCGCTCTGGTGAGACCCCACCTGGAGTATTGCATCCAGCTCTGGAGCCCTCAGCACAGGAAAGACATGGACCTGTTGGAGAAAGTCCAGAGGAGGGCAACAAAAATGATCCAAGGACTGGAGCGCCTCTCCTATGAAGACAGACTGAGAGAGTTGGGGTTCAGCCTGGAGAAGAGGAGGCTTCGAGGTGACCTCATTGCGGCCTTCCAATACCTGAAGGGGACCTATATGAGAGATGGGGACAGACTTTTTAGCAGGGTCTGCTGTGACAGAACAAGGGATAATGGTTTTAAACTAAAAGAGGGTAGATTTAGACTTGACATAAGGAAAAATTTTTTTACAATGAGGGTGGTGAAGCACTGGAACAGGTTGCCCAGAGAAGCGGTGGAAGCCCCATCCCTGGAGACATTCAAGATCAGGCTGGATGGGGCTCTGAGCAACCTTATCTAGTTGGAGATGTCCCTGCTCACCGTGGGGGGGTTGGACTAGATGACCTCTAAAGGTCCCTTCCAGCCCAAATGATTCTATGATCCTATGATTCTAAGTGGCCTGAAACTAGAGTTATACTGAATTTCTTAACTCTCATATAGCTCAGTATCAGACCTATTGTTTCCTGCAAGGTATAAATTTTTAATTGAGATATAGAACGTAATTAGGTAGTTTCACTACTGAATGGTACGGTGGTGTGGAAGCACAAAGCCCTTTCTGGTGTGGGACACAGTGCCAGAAAAGAAAACAGAAGTTACTTTGGTGCCATTTTCCCATTAGCCCAATGATTAGAAAATAGCTGGAGAGCGGGAAATATCAAAATGCAAACACCTTTGGTGATTCAAATCTATTTCTCTTGTTAATCAAGCAAGTGTCTTAATTTCTAAGTGTCTTAATTGAATATTATGGCATCCTTTACTCTCAGTACTTGATGTTTTACTCATTCTATTTTATACAAATATAATTAAAATTGTAGTTGAGTAGGTTCTAGAATACAGATACTACAACCTTTTAGTGTGTTTTTTCACTAAAATCCTGCAGATGATAATTTTCTTTATCTTTGATTACTGATTTGGCATGGACTGGAACTACTCCAAGCAAAAGTGTTGTTGGAAATCTTTTCCCCTAGATGCTCTATAGTTTGAGCAGTCTCAGTTAATGCTTCATATCTGAGAAGGTTATACAGAAACCTCATATGAAAAAGATAGTAAGGGAACCTAAAGTTGAGTTCTGCATCTCCCAGGTAAATGTCTTTCACTGTGAGGAACCTTGTCGCTTCAGTAAATATTTAAAGCATTTTATGAAAATGGAAGAGCTGCAGCAGGGAGACTGTGGAAATCCCAAATGAGATTATGGAATACTTGTCCATTTCCTTGGGCACTGGCTGAGCTCTTCTTTTTTCTGCTCAAGCAAGGTTGCTATCATGTTAAAAAATAGTAAGAGGCACCAGTCCCACCTTTTTGAGGAATTTTTTAAGTCAATTGAAGAAATATTTTTAGTTAGTGGTTGTTTCTGTTGAATAAAAAAATGTTGACTCATATTTGACTGGATTCTTTTGTGTTAGAATCAGCTGCGATTATTTTCAAATTTAAGTGGAATCTCAGACTTCCTTAGTAATATGATATTCAACTACAAGAAACATCTGAGGAAATGGCCCACAAAATAACCTGGTTAATCAAAGTTTAGGAAACTGAAATGCGTGACAATCACAAATTAGAAACATGGGTTATAGTATATTGCATGATAACCTTTAATGTAGAATATTTCTAGGGCACTATTTGATTTAAGATTTTAATAATAAAAGCACCTAATTTGAAGTAAAAAGGCTCAATTATTTTTATTTATTCTGTTGTGAGAGTTCTAAAAGTAATACTTTGCGTTATTCTGATGGTTTTAACAGTCACACCACAGATACATTTGGCCCTTTGCCTTTTGGATTATAGGCAAGTCGTAGAATGTTGTTGTTTGAAACAGGCTGTTACGAATTGCTAAATGTAAGATCAAACCCATAATCCTCTTTGGACAACTGCTAGGAAAAGAAGAAAAAAAAAAAGCAGAACTGTGAACCATGTTTTTCAGGCAGAACAGAATTTCTTGATTTTTTAAATCATATTCTTGCATGCTAGCTGGTGAGTTTAAGAAGCTGTTATCATTGGGAATTAAGGTAATGACACTTGCCAGTGGATGGGAAATGCTAGCATCAGGAACTGAAAGAAAATACTTTGATATTTCTATACAGATTCTTACCTCCATTTGACATAAAAGTCTTGGCTGAGACAACATAAAACTAACAAATATGTCTTGTAAGATAATAGATTGAAAAATTTACCACAAAAGCTTTATAGAAGACTTGTTTTTTTTGTGGTTCTTAAAGAGCAGATGCAATCCTTTTGCAGCACTTTGGCTCTATCACAGTACAGCAAAAAATAAAGCAATTTCAGTGTAGACACAACAGTTTCCAGTAACAACGTGCTGATACTTAAGGCAAGGGTGTCCTCACCGCATTTCCCTAAACATAGTGGTTCATTTTGAGTGCATGTGCACTGCACAAATACAAGGCTGAAAATGCTTGCATGAGAGAGTTGATAGAAGTCCCTAACACAGCACCAAAACTATTCACATTTGATCTTTTCATCAAAAACTTCTTCATATAATACTAACATGGATTTGGAGTTAAATAAATACTTTTTTCTGAAAATGTAGTTGGAATTAGAATTGTGAGCTATTAGGTGCAGGGGAATAGCATAGGTTTCACCTTTGGCAATTCAAAAAGAAGGAGAGTAGGATGGGGTGAAGATTATTTTATAGGGATACTGCAGCAGAGATATTCTACTCCTTTGATTTTCTGTTTTTTAAAGGCTGAAGCCTGATGAAATCTAATTTAAATGTCTTTGGTTTATTTTGAAGTGTCTCTAGGGATAACTCTCCGCTGAGAGGTGTGATTTAACTGAATCCAGTGAAAATGTGAGCTCTCTTAGTGATCAGAATGAAAGTTCTGCAAAGGGAGTACCCTTAAGTCCTCTTTGGCTTTACAATATGTGGAGTTGTCAGTAACTCCTTCAGAACCTCAAGCATTGCAATTTACAGAGTTATTCTGAGCTTCTGCACAGAGTGCACCAAGTAAAAATTTACTGACCTAAGTGCACTCTGCACTTGTATGAGGAATTATCTATTCAGGATAACAGAGCACTAGGCTGAAGTTTCATATATTTGAAAGACCCTGGCAAAATTTAATAAATTGATCCTGAACATTCTGGCTGTCCGGGAAAGTGGTTGAGTCACCATCCCTGGAGGCATTAAAAGGCATGTAGATGTGGTGCTTAGGGACATGGTTTAGTGGTGGTCTTGCCCATGCTAGGTTTACGGTTGGACTTGATACTCTTAAAGGTCCTTTCCAATTTAAACAATTCTATGATTCTATAATTTGTCTTCTATCATTGTTGCAGATTCTGTAGAGAAAAATTAAAGGACAGCTGTGAAAACAGTTGTATGTAAAGAAGATATGAAAAATACCTACTTTGTAAATTAAACAGGGATTCATTCACCTAACCTTACCTGGATTAGCCATCTAATCCAAAACAATCATCTGAGATCACTGAGTGAAATAGGAGAAACAGATCCAAAGGGGAAGTTGTTCTCCCTATGTTACTCATCTGTCAGAATACAGAGAATTGCTCTCCAGATGTACTCCTCTGCTTTTGCTGACGATGGAGCAGCCTACACTAGCAGACTGGTTCCTATGGAACAAAATATAAAAATATACATACATACCAGGAAAATTGTGGAGTTTTCTTGCAAAAATCAAAGACTTTTCTGCTTACATTTCAGCCAAACACATCTAGCCAATCTTCCCTGCTCTATTTTATACCCCTTCCTTTGGGCCTTTCAACAGAGACATGGAAACCAGACCAGTATGTTCTTTTTTGCAGAAATCTTTGCAACAGTGCAGACTATTTCCATGTTATGGCCTCTGCCTCCCCTCATCGTCTTGTCTGTAGGCTAAAACTCTAATTCAGTCACACTTAAACTGGACACAACACTCACACTGAGTCTTCTCCAGAGTAGAGGGAGGACAAATGATTTTGTGTCACTTCCAAGCTCTGGTTCTTTTCACAATTTGTGATGAAAGGTTTACTGTTTTAAGAACGTTTATCACATTCAGATAACGATTCTCTCTAATATTTACATCTTTTCCTTCTGATTGTAACTCCACTCTGTCCATCCAAAAAAGACCTTTGTTCATCTTTTTGACTTGAGTTTTTCACGGAAAGATTTGTAAGATCTCAGAGTATTGCCAGGCATATTTTGGGGGTTCTGAAAAAAATTTTAAAAGGGTGAAAAACCTTTCTCTTACCTTTTTCCAGCATTATGCAAGTCTTTATTTAAAACTAGTTTTGCTATAATTCCTACTATTCCTGTTTTAAGAATAGAGATCACCATCTAAAATAATAAATTCTTCTGCAGCACTAGCTTATACCTTATTTTTGTGAATTTTGCTATGCTTTAGATACTGATGTTCCTATAATTCCTAATAAATATTATTCATATCTAATGTCACTTTTAATCTCAGCACTCTTCTTTACAGTGTTGTTTATTTTCTTTTTCTTCTTTGCTTCTTTCTTAGAGGGTAAAGGAAAAAGGAGAAATCCTCTCCATGACTTCAAAAAAACAGGAGAGTTGATGCTCATTAAAGTAAACAAAACACTGGAAGTAAAAACCAAGCTGTTAAATACCACTGAGCAATGTGCCAAGAGATGCAGCAGGAACAAAGGCCTTCTGTTCACTTGCAAGTAAGTTGTGTATCTCTATTATTTTTATTATTTTTTTTCCTAATGGAACCTATATAACACTCTTTGACCAAAGGTCTTCCTGTAATTGCCGTCAGTGGTAGCTTGTACTGAGGACAACCTAAAGACTGTGCTTTTCGATTTCCATGATCTTGTTCTACCTGTGTAGAGACTGTCAGTCTTTTCTGAAGCTTCATCTGAGTTGTTCTGTCTTTTTAGCTTGTCCAGTTTGTAATCTTTTCCTTAACATAGCTGAAAAAATGTACTCATGTTAAGATGTGGATGACTTGTGCTGCACTGTAGTGTTCAGTGAACATTTCTGAGATTTTTATGTCTCTTATAAAATGGTTATTGTCACACATCACAGCTGCAGTATTTCAGCACCACTTCAGACCATATTCTGTCCTCATTCTTTGCACTCTGCTGAAATCGATGGGAACCTCACACATGGAGCACAGATACATGCGTTGCTGAAGTTCACTGGCAAGTACTAAGAATCTGATACAATGGAATCAAACCTTCTGGGCTTCACAATCATTACAAGTATATGATAGCTATTCCTCGGCATCTGCTGTCTCTTAGAAACACATCATGCAGCTGATTGCTTGTCTGCCTTGTACATATTCTCTGCTATTTTTTGGAACAAATCACTATTATTTTTCCCATGTATTAGACTTAAATTATCCCCCTGACCTCTCTTAGTCTAGACCATTAGCAATAAATGAAAGAACATGAATGCAGGAGAATCTTGGAAAGAATGGATGACTTCTGTACTGGTGAGTACTGGGATAAATGTGAGCCTGATCTTGAAATATAAAAAACTTTTGACAATCCCTACAAATGGAAGCTAGACCAAATGTGGTAACAAAAGCTCTTCCTTGGCAGAAAAGATCCTTGACTGTAATTTAATCCTTCTTTAAGCCTTTAATTCCAGTGTTGCAAGATCTAGTTTGTATTGTTTTGTACTTTGACTATTTATATATGTAAACAATGAACAGAGTTTACTTATTTCTGTTAGAAAATATTTTCCAGGCACTAATATTTTTCACATGGTACGAGCCACTCCTTTTCCTATTGGCAGAGCTTCCACTGATATCATTGCCAAGTGGATCAGGTTATATTCAATACAGCAAGAGATGCTTTTACATGAATAATGATCTAGAATCTCTTGAAATTTTTAAAATTTTCTCATTTTTTCTGTTGGGACAGTGTCTGATGGATTCATTAAGGGACAAATTCTCCCTGCCGTAATCAGTCAATAAGACAACACAGAGGAGCCATGAGGCACTTTGAGAATACAGATTGGAAGAGTTCTACTCACAGATAGAAGAATTGCAATCAGTCACGTAATTATTTTGCACTGAAGATGAAAAAGAATTACAAATCTGGTTAATCATGCTCTGAATTTCCAATTTTCCCCCACATATTTTTAACAAGGAAGGCTAGTGTAAGTGATTAGGTCTTGCCTGTGCTACCACTATGCAGCAGAGCAAGAGTGATTTTCTGTATCTGGGAACGTTCTTGTGTTTCCCATTTGGCCCCAGATGCGTCCTATTGTAGTGTGCATAGTTCTTTGATGCTACTGCAAACATGTATTTGACATGTGTTCCCTTTTAAAAGAACCAGTGATTACTCATGTTTCCCTTCTATTTCTAGGATCCCTAGTCCTTAACTTCATACCAGCATATGGTTACTACAAGGTGACATTTGTTGCCAACTTAAATTAAAACCAATTAGTTTACTGGTTGCTGTGGGAGCATTCTAAAATAAGAAAAGTAACAAAAAATGGCATTTTAAAAACTTGAAATATAAGACTTGGATTTTCCTTTGTTTATTGACATTTTCATGGCTTGATTCTGATGCTCCATATCCATGCAGTAGTTCTCCATCACTTGAGTCACAGCACTGATGTTTTATTTTCTGCATGCAAACTCAATTTGTTTAAATATTAAGATCAAATAAAATAGAGATACTTTGTAACATAACTGTGATAATAGCACTGGGAGCAGCAACACCTAGGTCTGCATCCTCTGAGATACAGAAGCAGGAAAAGAGTTGGGTTTCTTTTCTGCCAGAAGGTGATAAAGTAACAGACTACAGGCACTACAGACTTATAAACGATCAGTCACTCCTTATTTTCTGGAGGAAAAGAAGTATTAAGACAATGTTTGATTTACTTATGATAAGTTTCAGTATCACTTGCAAGTAAATGTTGATAATTATATTCAATAATCATTAATCCTTGCTGGTTTTAACTCTGACACCTTTTTGTTGGAGCTAATATATGTCAGTTCTCAGAATGGACCTTTCCTCTTTTCCCTTGCTATCATGCTTGCACAGACCTTGATAATTTCCAGCTGAGTTACAAGATCCTTATCTAGACTTGTTTCTTCTTAATAACAGTATTCCTAAAATCCCCTATCAAAGTACTCCTTAGATTTGCTTACCTTGTCTTTTTGATTTCATAACTGGGCATCTTTTTCTGCCTTCCCTATCAGCTTTATTAACCTGCTGCTAAGCCATTCTTATTCCTTTATTTCACTGCCATTTGCAGTCCATTACTCCTACTGTTTTTCTTCAGTCATCCTAACAACTTTTCCTGCTATGTTTCTTATGGATTAGAAAAAGATAATATAGTTACTATTTTATTGGCTACGCAGATGACTTTTGCAGACTTGTCACTTCCTTACCTACAAAGTTGTGCCTGTCTTATCCTTTGTTATTTGTTTAATTTCTGGAGTGTCTTTGTGTTTATATGGAAAGGGATTCCAATACAGACCACAGGATTTCAGTATCTGATCAGAAAATCTACCGATAGTAAAAATACTAACAACAAAAATTGTTGTGATCAGCAGTATCAGTAGAAGAAAGTCCAAGAATTTTCTTAAATATGTTGTCTTTGGAAGTGTAAAAACCCTCCAGATTTGGGTCCAAGAAAAGATTGTTAGAAACTTTTATGTGAAGAAATGGCTGAAGCCAAACTGGAAAGAAACCAAAAGGCAACTGAAAGGCAAAAACTGAAAGAAATGTTTGTAAACACTACATTCTACATTCCCACTTTAGGAGGGAGGAGAGGAAAGGAGAATGTAATTGGAAAGGCAGGAAAGGTCAAGGATATTTTTGTGAAGATGGAGTTAGAGGCACTTGGATACGCTTGTATTTGAGAACCAGCCAGAAGAGAACAGAAGGCTGAACAAGGGCAGAAGGATGAAGGTTAGCAGGTTGGAAACATTTGTAGTCAACAGAGTAGAGAGAGCAGTTGGATGTAAAATCTGTTTGGTGATGGAAACGATAATGAAGAGAATGTTTGAAAGAGAGAAGAGTGGGGAGGCTGGATAGGATCTTGTAATTTTCTTAACTGAAGCCAGCAAGATCTCACACAGAAAAATTTGTATGGTGAACTAAGTGAACATCAAAGACCTTTGAGTTGAGGGATGTAGTGCTCAGGAATAGGGCACAGCCAAAGTATGGATGAAGTGTAGGAAATCTGTGTCTGCTTTGGATGTTATCAAGTAGTGTTAAAATGGCTTCTCAGGTTTGGGATGACTGACAGAAATGTAGACTTTATGGTGGTCTAGAGACAATAGTATCATGTCTGTGATTTGTTACTTGATTCTAAGGAGAAATTAAGGGGAAAAAGATTTTTCAGTGTTTTTTTGTCTTTTTTTTTTTTCCTTTTCTTTTTTTCTTATTGGAATAACTGTTGCCTCCCCCCAGGCAGTCAGCTCTGGTTTTAAAATCCTTTAAAGTATTTTACCTACACTTAAGGAATTTCCTTTCAAAATGATGCTAGGAGAAAAAAGTCTGCATATTTCATTTAAAATATTGAAAGAAAGTGCTTCTACTCTTCTGATTTCCGTTTGTCTTTCTTGCTCCCAAAAAATCCACTCCATTCAGCACCTGTGGTACTCTATCTTTGAAAGAAGTTAAAAAGAAAACAAGAGCAAAGCAAAGCTGTAGGTTCACTATCACAGTTTAGATTATTCATAAAAATAAAAATAATCCTGTTTTTAAACAGCTCTGTTGTTCACAGACTCCTTGTGCTTGAATTTTCCTCAAATCATCAGTGTGAGATACTTAACTATTTGAGAGGCATATTGTAGGCACAGCAAAGAAGATGTTTTAGAGTCTTCCTTTTTTTCCCCAGAAAACAGCACAACTGGGGGCACAAATGCTGTCTCAGTCACATTTATCTTACTTTGAAAATAAAGATCTTTAATGACAAGGGAACTCTTAGATTAGTGTGAACAACCAGGCTGGTATTTAATATAATGGCCACATCAATTTAATTTCTTTGTTTCTTTGTTCTTGTCAGCACAGTTGTGGGTTTAAATAGCAATTTGGACTGTTTCTCTGACTTTCCCAGTAAAAATAAATTTGATGTCATTGCATGCTCCTTGGCAAGCCATGTATCATTATTATAAACCACATAGAGATTTTTTTTCTCATCCAGTTTTTCTTTGCAGGGCCTTTGCTTATGACAGAGTTACAAAACGGTGCCATTGGTTATCCTTCAACAGCTTGACAAATGGTGTGAGAAAGAAGCAAGACCATGCGTTTGATCTGTATGAGAAGAAGGGTAACTGATTTATTTACTGATTATTTTTTTTCCAGCTATGGAGGGGGAAAAAAGATGAGGTCAATCAGTGACTTTTTGGCTGTAGGAGCATCCTGGGCATGGGATGGTTTTATGCATTCTGAAAGCTGCATCCTGCAGTTTTATTTACAAATATCCCAGCTTTGCTGTCATGTTTGCTCAGTTTTCCAACCTACATATTTGCCACCATCATATGTACAAGTCTGAATTACTACTTAAAAGATAAGTTCTATGAGTTACTGTTATTGACTTAATATTGCTTTTATTTACCTCATTAATGAGTGGGGGACTTAAGTCCTTAGACATGGACTTTTGGTCAATTAGATACTTTGGAAACATTTTCAGTAGCTCTCCTTGGGAAGTTAGTGATCAATATTTTGGAAAAAAAGAGACTTTTAAGATGTTTTATTCTCTTTTCCTTTAACAGACTATGTCAGGAATTGTATCATCGGAAAAGGAGCAGACTACAAAGGAACAATATCCATTACCAAAAGTGGTATCCAGTGTCAAGCCTGGAATTCAATGATCCCTCATGAGCACAGGTAAGAGTTCAGGAGCAGAGACAATGGGAATAGTGCCCAGACAGCTTGGTTTGACTTATTAGCAGACAGAGAATTTATGAGAAAACTGACCTTAGACAACAAAATCTCTTAGGTGTATTCTTACCTTTCCCCAAGAGTTGCCATACTCCAGATCCCAGAAAATCCTTACCTTCATGGGCTTTCTCCAAAGAGGTCTCTTCTAATGCCAGCCTGTGTGTCTGGATCCCTTCCTTTCCTGAGTTAGTTTTTTTTAGCTGTTTATGTCCTTTTGATCTCTTAGCTACTGGCAGAAACAAAGCATCTGCTTAGCTACAGCCTGGGGTCTGGAAGTTTATCACTGTTTCTAATCAACTCCCAGGAAACGGGTAACTTTAAAAAATACATTATTAGGAAGTGAGGGATATTATGGATATTAATCCACCTATTTGATCAGTATATAATAATTGTTACTATATTTTGCATAGTTACTATTAATTCTCTATTATTTGTGGAATATGTTAAACTCTATGATGCACTTAGACCAGTCAACAAATACATGGAAAGGACTGAACAGATTATTGAAATCCTTTCCTTCAGATCATATAAGCAATAACTAAAACTGATACAGCAGGTATGGGACTTTACTTTTGAGTTTAAGACCTGATATACTGAGGAACTGAGGCCGTATCTACACCTTGAGAGTAGACTTAGTTCACCTATATTGGCTAAGAAAAAAGAGAAGAAAGCCAAAAACTGAAGCCAGAAAGAGTAATGGTAAAAATAAATTCAACCACAACAAATATTGCTGGAAACTAGCAAAAGGACTGTGAAGTACTGGTCTACTCTTTGACCATTTCTCTTTGAACCTTTTGTATTGGCTTTAGCCATTTAGATAATAAACCCTTAAGAGCCAAAACCAAAGTGTCCTCTCACCCATAAGCTTTCTATCCACATTGCTGCCTTTTGCTCTGGACTCCCAGCATCAGCACTTTGCTTAGGAGGAGCCAAGCTGGGGATTACTGGTGAGGAACTGGGCTGTGCACTGCTCAGTCCTGTTCTGACCAAGTCTAGCCAGTGTGCAAGATGATATCTTGGAACAACATTAAAAGGCAAAGGATACTTGGGTTCTCTCCTCTTATGATGTGTTACAAAGCTGAGCCTCAGGCTTGAACTTGACTGGACTTGGCTGTTTATAATATAGATGGTAGTGTGCCTGATCTTCAGTGTGGGAACAGACGTGTTCTTAATTGTGAACATATGATAAATACCATCAGGTCCCACAGCAATGACCTCTTGAGACTCAACACCTTGAAGTATACAATCTTCATCTATTAGAAGTGAAAGAATTCTCAATAATTACAGCCTAAGCAAGAACAAGCATTTAAACTATATAATATGCATATCACTTTATATAATTAAAGAAAGAGAAGTATCTGGATAGCGTATATTATCACTAAATTGCATTTTAATATACCGCATAAACAGTTTTATCTAATACATTTGGACAGCCACTCTTCTATGATGGATTTTATGAGAATGACTTTTCTCCTGCCTTGTGCAATAAGTTTAATTTTTAAAAGGTCGCTGGATAAATGAGGTGGCAGCATACTAATTTTCTTTTTCAACATCAGAAAATATGATTTCATCATCAGAAACATGAGGGAGATGGGAAGAAGCAGACAGTAGTGGTGTGTTTGGAACTTATTAGTATGAAAGACTTAGATTTTTAGATCAGTTTCTCTCAACATCTTATTATCACAAAGTGCCATTGGAAAATAAATCTCTTTTTCATATTCAAGGCAGAAATTTACTTTACTGATTTTTCATTATCTTTCTAGAAAGAATTGAAATAACTTCAGACTTTAAACTTGTGCTTGGATTTAGCAAATTATGTGTTTATTTATTTGTATTCCAGTAGAACCTGGAGACTCTCAGCTGAAATCATAGTTCCATTATTTTCGTCTCCATCCTAGTACAGATTACAAGACTATCTTTTTTTTTTCTCTCTCTTAAGAGTTTTTTATATAAATGGATAAAGCCAATGCAAAAAAGGTTCAAACAGAAATGGTCAAAGAGTAGACTAGTATTTCAGAGGCTTTTTGCTAGTTTCCATGACACTTGCTGTGATTAAACCTGTTTTTACCATTACTCTTACTGGCTTCAGTTTTGGGCTTTTTTCTTTTTTTCCTTACCTAGTATAGTTGAAATAAATCAGCACACAGTTTTAGGGGTGGATCTGTCTTCCATTTCTGGGTGGGTCTTTGCTGCATCTCATCTTTTCCTCCCTCAATAATGTTGCTTCAGTACCTGTTGAAGCCAATTGTATATCTGACCCATCTTGAGTTTCTAGTGCTATTCATTTAGATTTTTTTTTTAATGTTCTGATAGCATATCTGGCATACTTTGAAATGCCTTTTTTCTATATTTGGTAATACCCATAACTTCTGAGCAGAAAGATTTTCCAGCAGGAAAAGGAAATAAAATGTTCTAACACTCACTGACATACTACATTAACACATATACTGTTGCAATGTCCCATCAGAAAAGTTTGTGCAGGGCTGTCTTTAGCTAAAAAAATTTGAGAGATTTATATTACAAGACTACAGAGGAAAAATAGAAGCAACAATTTTATAGGCAACAATAATGACATAAAAATTATTCTCTTCAAGCACCAAAAATAAGAAAAGCACTTTTAAGTAATGCTTCCACATTGCATTGACTTGAACTGCAATGCAATTAATAGAGGTATTTTTCCACTTCAGTTAGTTCAAAGATTTCATTAACGGGAATAAAACATGATTAAAATGTCACATGTCAGAATTTTCTTTTTGATTCTCTTTCTCTGTCTCTTTTTTTTAGTTTTTAATTTATTTGTTTGTAACATAGAATTTGCCAAGGACAGCAGGAACCACACATCTCTCTTTTGCTTTTGTGTATAAATTAAATTGGTGTCTGTATATAAAGACTATCCCAAGTGCTTAGTTCAGTTTCCTAAGCTGTAAGTCTCTACAGTCTTCTAAAAGAAGTTAGATGAAATGATATTCCTTTTTTTTTTTCGTCTAGAGTATAGATGTGTTTGAATTCCCTTGGTGATTAAAAAAACCCACACCAAAACAAAATAAAACAAACAAAAAACCCAGAATAAAAACCCCAAACAAACACCCAAAATAAAGCATTAGGCATTTTCAGACTAAAAGGTGCATTTTTCTTTAAATATACCGAAGAAGAAAAAAAAACTGGAACAAATCTTAGAAAGCTCAAAAATTAAATGAATTTATTAAGTTGAATTACAAGTTTTGTGTGATGCCCTATGTATTTTGCCCAACTTTTCAATTAACAACCAAAACCAAAATCTTATTGGAATTGAGCATAAGTCTGAATTTACTGTGTCTTTTAACTACAGGAATTTAGCTGCTGTTTAAACATCAGTGCAATGAAGCCAGCAGCTAAGTGCCACTGGGTTTGTCTGCAATGTGCAGCCTGAGTGTGGTCTTGAGCTCTTGCAATGACATTGAACAGATCAGCTCTGGAGTTGGGCTCCTTACTATGGGGTTAGCTATACCCTAGTTTGTGGGGAAAATTAACTAGCATTACTTCTGTGTATAAGTATAAATATATATATATTTAAGTGCACCTGCATATATCTCTATATGTCAGTGTGTATGTGGGGGTTTCTCTAGAGATAAACATGTAATTTTACGGACAGCTAAGAACACAAAAGCTTGACCCTGGACAGTTTAGGTCAGCTAGGTTACTGTAAATGACCTAATTTGTATGATAGCAATGATGATGATTGGACTTGATCTTTGAGATCTCTTCCAACCGTAATGATTCTATGATTCTATGATTCTATGAGTGAGTCTATAAGTAGCAGACCCTAAGGTGGACTTCTAGGGCTTGTGGCAGAACATGAAGCAAGACAGCTAAAGCAGGATCTGGGGAAAATTCTGATGCTGAAATGCAACACAGCCCATGGTTTCAGGCAGCGAAAGCCTCGGTGTGTTGTGTCACACTGCTCGCTCACACTCATATGCTCCTCATACTCAGTTCTAGCAGTTGCATGACCGGGGATGGGAAGAAATTTCTCTGCTTGTGGGCTTTATGTAGTAGGTGCACACTAAGCCTAGCTGGGCCTGCTATATGTACACAACATGCATAGAAAGGCAGGTCTGACATGGCTATGGACCCAATGAATTTTTCCCCTATGCACCCAACACATTTTTCTCCCTTGTCCAAGGGCATTCCACCATTGTATGAGTAGTTGCAAGCTTGCAAAGGAGAGCGCAGCAAGGACTGGCAAGGAGCGTGTTGCTGCCTTTGGCTGTACAGCAGAGAGTTGGCTCTGGACACCCGAGGGATGGGAGTAAAACTCCCTACAGCAAGGTGTGGGCTAGACAAATTCTCCCAGATTTAGGCCACTGATTGAGTAATCCTTACTGAAGACATGTATTTGTGTACAGACAGATATTTGGGAGTGTGCATTTGTTTAGGCAGGGTGGAGAGAGAAATGTGATTGTTTCTAACTATTTGTGAAAAATAGTATGATTAACACCAAAGTTTGCATGCTCTTATACTGTAATGATTGTCATTTTAAAACTAGCTTTTTGCCTTCGAGCTATCGGGGTAAAGACCTGCGGGAAAACTACTGTCGAAACCCCCGAGGGGAAGAGGGAGGGCCGTGGTGTTTCACCACCAGTCCGGAGATGCGCCATGAAGTCTGCAACATCCCCCTTTGTTCACAAGGTAACCTGGCACAGCTCACGCGGAACATTTCCTTTTCTCTGCTGACAACAGGTACACAGAACTTCCAGTAGTTTCAGTGACATTTGCTTATGGATTTGGAGAAAGAATAGATGATTTCTCAGCAATAATAACGCATGTAGCAAGAAAACTAGTTGTCAGAGAAAGAGGAGATCTTGTTATGTTCCAGTACTCTGGAAGACTTGAACAAGATTTAGGCTCAGCAGCTTTTCTTCAGGTCATGGAGGAGCTGGAACAATGAAGTTGTGCTGATTGCACAAATATGACCCTTTTTTCACTTCTCTAGTCCATAGTGAATCCATTAAAAATTTCAGTATTGCTATGTGATAAAATCTTCTAGTGCCATTCCATGATAAAATCAACTTACCTTCTTCTTTTTGATGAAAATATAGATACTGAATTACAGGACAAAAGCTCAATCTAAGCATACATTTCGTTTTTCAAATGAATACTGTAAATACATAAAACCTTTTATAAATCCAATCCCATTCAACTTTCAAGTCACAGAATTTGAAAGACACTTCATGTGCACCATTGCATTTGTTGATTTTTAAGTTCTGTTCACTTCCAGACTAAGCTCTTATATCATGCTAATCAGCCAATTCAGTTCCAGTCAATCAACCCATTTAAATTCTCAAGATAGGATGCCTCTAATTTTCCTGTTAATGTGTCATGTGCAATAGCTATGCAGTGATGGGGGAAGAAAACGGAGAAGGAGGGAGGAAGGAAGAGAGGGAGGAAGAGAACAATTTACAAGGAGCTTGAAAACCTATTAAAAGCTAAAATGTAAAGATCAATTTAAGTGAGCTTCAAATGGGATAAGACCTGGAGCTCACTGCAAGATGAAGACTTTGATACCGGATGTTTTGACTAAAGAGTGAGATCTGTAATTGCATAAATCAGTATTTACTAAGTTACAGTTGCTCTAATTAAAGGACCCTTGAGAAATGTGTCTATAGTTAATTATGGTGAATTAATTTTATATTTTAAGACTTTTTAATCTAAATTATGAAGCATATTTTGTTCAATAGTGATTTCAAATCCCTTTGGTAGGTTATGCCCACTCTCTTTCACCCCCACTTTCCCAAACCAAGGCTGCAAAGGTATGGCAGTTTAAGCTGCCAAAAAGAATTAGTATCGAAGAAACAGTATCATATGTAGCTGAAAGTGCTGGGCATTTAAAGAGACAGACTATACTGCCTTGAAACGATGATTCAGCCACTATTCTGTGCTTAACCTTGTACTGTAATTATACTATGATTTAGAGTGATTTGAATAAAGAATGTTACTTAATTAGAAAATATCACCTCTAAAAAATACTCCTTCCTTAGATGTGTGTCTCACTCTCTTACTAATCAGAAGTAAGGTTAAAAATCTGCTAGGAACATGAATGCCTCTAGCAGCTTACACCTACCTACCTTGAAACCATAAATGTCCCATAAAATGATACCAAATTTAGGCATCTGGATTAGATCTGAGAAAGAAATGCAATTTTGTTCCAAAGGACATTTTCCATACCAACTAATTAAAAGATATCACTTTGTTTATACCTCTTTAGGTCAGTTTCAATTTACAACGGCAGGGATATGATTTAATTATTTTAATATTTTTTTTTGTGCTACAAGTCATCAGCATAATAAATGACTAGTACCTATTTTTTTTTCCAGTTGAATGCATGACTTGCAATGGAGAGAGTTACAGAGGGCCAATGGATCACACCGAGTCGGGCAAGGAGTGTCAGCGCTGGGATCTTCAGAGACCACACAAGCACAAATTTCGCCCAGAGAGGTGACCTTCCCTCCCCCCCAAGCAAATCCATGTGGTCATAATTTGAAAATTACACACGTTCTGGAACCAGTTGGGCAAAATCAACATTAGTCGAACTGAAATTTATGGAGTCACCAGTTTTAGTTGCTTGGGCTTCTGGCCCATGGTGTGTGCAGGCTGGCTACCATCATAATGGAGATGCAGGATAGGCACTGGAGGCTATTTAGTGCAGTTGGGGCTACATCCCACAGCTGTGTAGTGCAGTGATGGACATGTGTTGCATTAATTGAAAAGCAACAAATCTAGTGAAGGGCCTGGAGAACAAATCTTATGAGGAGCGACTGAGGCAGCTGGAGTTGTTTAGTCTGGAGCAAAGGAGGCTGAGGGGAGACCTGATTGCTGTCTACAACTACCTGAAAGGAGATTGTAGTGAGGTGGGAGTTGGTCTCTTTTCCCAAGTAACCAGTGACAGGACAAAAGGAAATGGTCTCAAGTTGCACAAGGGGGCGTTCAGGTTGGATATTAGGAAGAACTTCTTCACTGTAAGAGTCGTTAAGCATTGGAACAGACTCCTCAGGAAGGTGGTGAACTCACCATCCCTGGAGGTGTTCGAAAAACATTTAGATGTGGCACTTTGAGACATGGTTTAGTGGGTTTAGAGTGCATGGTGGCATCGGGTATATGGTTGGACTTGATGATCTTTGAGGTCTCTTCCAACCATAATGATTCTATGATTCTGTGATCAAAATTTCCTCCCTAGCTTCAATGACAGTAAAAAATTAACTTCTGAATGTTTCTCTATATGTTCTCACACAGCTTCAGTCAACTTAAAATATCTTAAAGTAATCACAAAGTAAATAATGATTAAAAGTCACAAATCTTTAAAATTTTAGAGTTCTTAACACAACTAGTGAATATATACTTGCAACATTGTCAAGTCAGAGTATGCTCCTTTTTCGAACAGCTTTAAAGCTGTAGATGGTCTTCGGTTGTGATCAGACTTAAGTATCCAATTTGTTTGACCAAAATGTTTGCTCACTACATGTGTTTCTTTAGCCTGAGAAAGCAGTTCATCATTCTGTTTAGCATTTTATGCACATGGATTCATATGTTAGACTTTTTTCTTTTTTTTTTTGATTTAGACATAGATACATAATGCCAAAAGATGAGTCAGAAATAGCAAGACAAATTGCATCCTCATTAGGGTTTGTCCTAGAGGGTAAAATTCACCCAGCAGCAAAAGGTCATCTATAATACACTCTTGGAAGGATTTGGGGCGGGGCGGGGGGGGTGTTTAGGCCACACAGGAGGGCCTTTGTGTTTCTTTTAAACTGAACTAACGTTTCATTTTAGTTTTACTCTGGATTTTGGATTAACTGCATTTATAAAGTGAATTGAATAAACTTGAACTGCCAGAGGAAGACTGCAAGAATCAACAAACTCAGAATGATTGAGACCTTCGACTGAAAGTATCTTTATATATGTTGAAATGTTCCACTAAATAAAGCGTAATTTTTATACTCAGAAATACTGATATTGGTAGATTTTAGAGAGCCTGATTATTCAGCAAAACATTAAGAACCTGCCGTTTTGGAGTTTCTGTGATATAAACTCTTTTTCCTCTTCGCTTAGATGGTCAGCTTCATAAATAAAAGCAGGCTATCCCATAGTTCTACTTCAATAAATATTTTGTATTAGCAGACTGGGACTGAAGATAATCTGTTTCTGAGTTTTGACATGCACTTGCTGTGCATTCTAGAATAAGTAACAGAAAGAATTTTGTTCCTTGGGAGTGAAACATTTATAGAATTTCTGGGTACAAACAATAATAATATTGCTGCCAGGAGGAAATTTCTTTTTTCTGTTAATTTTGAGTTGTTTGCAAAATGACTTTTCAGACTAACTCCAGTCTCACAAATTATTGTCTTCCTCCTTGAAAGATTTCCTTCAGAAAACATCTTTTTGAGAGTTTTCAGACTGTAATAAAAATGCTTTTTTATCAAAAATCCACGCAGCCAGATTGAATTGATCTGTATGTGCTTTCAGAAGAGTAACTGAGGTCCAGTACATTTCTAACACATTAATTAACTTCATGGACCGGTCACTAAAGGTAGTGACAATTATACTTTGATTATACTAGCTTTTAAAAATGTTATGGACTTTGGTTTTGTGTTGTTTGTTTGTTTGTTTTTTTAATAGTCATTTAAGTTGAAAATAAGAGGGGAAGTCTGGAACAAATGATCCAATAAAATACAGCAATCTCTAGAGAGGCTTACACTATATCATCTAGGGCTAATGTGAATAATCTGGAAATCAGGAAGGACTAGCTGCATAGATTTAAACTTATTTTCACTTATGGATTCATCAGTTGCAACAACGAAGAAAGACAGGTAATGTTTTCAAATGCTCCAGTTTACTTGCTGTTGGACAGTGCTTTCAGCTCAGGGTGAATATATCTCACTTTTCCTTTTTGTCACCTCAATGAATTGTACCACATCTATTCCCTTCAGAGGTCAGTTACTGAACAGAATTGATAATACTTGTTTACATAGATGTGATTGAAGCTAGCAGTAGGAATTCCCCCAAACAGCTCCTACATGACCTGTTTTTAGTTATTAGTGGATTCAGAATTGTATTCTGAAGCTCCAGTTCTCTCATGTACTCCTCATGGGCAGGATTATGCCTCAGTATGGAAAGAAGACTGTTTGAGGATAATGACTTAGGTAGGCATAGAGCAGCATAGAGAAGCAAGAGTTTTCTCTTCTGCTCGTATTTTCTGCTCAAAATCAAATATGGTCTGAAAATAGGTACTTATTGCATGGAGGAAAGTAGGGTTGGAGTGTAGTATAAGAGTTGAATAACTGCAGGTATCCTTTTATTAAAATACTCTGGTTTATACCTCTTTTAGGAAAATTTACTTTATACAAAATCAAGTTTCCAGTCCTGCATGTCGTTTAAAACAAAAAGAAGAGGAAAAGAATTATTGTTGAAGAGTTTCAGACAACAAGCTTCAGTTTAGTTCCAACAGAGCTAGAGATCAGCATCTGTCTCTTTAAAGAGAATAAACGTTATCTCTTTGTCTAACATTCTTTTTTTCCCTCCTAGAAAATGAGAAAAAGTCTTAATTTTGACACCAGATGTGTATCTTAATGCTTTATTTCAGTTTCAGTGGTGAAGTACAGCTACTGCAGCTTCAAGGAGAAAAAAAAAAAAAAAAAAAAAGAAATATGTCGGGTTCTGAAAGATCTTGGAAACCTCAGGCTCTTTGTTGGGTCTAAGCAAGAGGTCTGTGCCCAAGCGTACTGAGGAAGGAGGAGTGTGCAGAGCAAAGGGATGAGCTCCTAGGGAATTCTCCACAGTCTCACTGTTGAAATGTGTGGAACAGTTTGAAGCCCTGTTGTTTATCTTATCCCTAATATTTGTATCTTAAAAGTGTTAGCTGGCCTTTTCTATAGGAACTGAGGAACTGTTGCTTGTTGGATATGAAGGAAGACAGAAGCATGCCTGAATATTGTGGGAAGAATCAGTGACTGGGCAGGCCATTGTTGCTCTAGAAAAGGGTACATAGATATAGTAGATGGAAAGATACAGTTGACAGACACTACTCCCTCCCACAAAGACACTCAAATCTTAATCCCGGAAGAACTGTTACATCTCTACTTAAGTTTTAGTTAGTAAATAACACATTTTTGACATACTGTGGGAACATATCATATCATATTAGGAAGGACCAAACCTTCAGTGTTATGAAAACACTTACCTCTTAGAAAGTGGTTTCTTTACATACTCAGTTGTTTTGAATGGTTTTTGGGAGCTATGACTGCAGATACCTTGCCATTCCTGGACTCACCTTGGTTCCTGGGTAGTGCCATGGACTCTCTATGGAGCCTGTGCTGCCAGTGTCAAAGGTCATCACCGCACCTACTGGGAGGCCAAAGACATCTTGTTTTCTGCTATGTTATTAGCCCATTAACTGTTTTCTTGTGAAATCCTTGGATAGAAATTGTTCCTTTACATTTTGTCTTCTACCTAGCAGAAAACAGGGTACTACTGCTAGATGTGAAACTACCACATTCTTGACTGCCCTTGAATTGTCAGTTTTGTGAGGTTTCTCCTTGGTGGTTTTGGTGTTTGTTTTGTTTTGATTTTTTTTTTTTAATTCTACTTAAATCTTGTCCCTGTCCCTTGTATAGATGAAGGAACCAGATTTTTCCCAAGGAATGGGAGATCAAGTTGCAAATACATAAGTCAAAATTAGGATGATTGTTTGACAGAAAAAGCATCCTAGCAAAAACACCCGCTTGTAAATCATATTTTCCTCTGCTTGTGTGAAAAACATCTGCTTGCAGTTGTAAATGGATTCAGGTTCCCAGGTAGTTAACTTTATTGTTCTCTTACATACTCTTCATGTTTCCCTCAGGGATAAATCTACTTTTTGTTTCTTTTACAAACATGTTTCAATAAGTTTGGAAACCCAAGACAATTTGTATTCACTGGAGAAAAAAAAGTATGCATTTATCTCCTTCTCTTAAAGTTTATAGATAGTTTATAGATAAATTTATAGCACATTTATACCAAAAGCACCTCCTTATCTTGAATATCTGCCTGATCGTTCAATGATGGCAGTAGGAACGTGGAAATAATTAAATGGCAAAATAGTTTCAAATCTTAATGAGATAAAGCAAGACAGAAGTTAATTCCTTATTTTTCTCTTTTTCCCCCCCCAATGCTTGAAATGAGGGCATGACCTAGAATAAGCTCTGTTACAAAAATGGAGCTATCATTAGTAACACAGCTATTCAAAATAGCTTCCAGTTTGAACGCAGGGCTGTTGCACCAAAGAACCTGTTTTCTTAATGAGTCCAGCATGCCAGGCAGTGTTTATATAATCCACACTTAATTGGACTGTTTCAAAAAAATAAGTGGCTTTAGAGTCTGACCATCGCTTGACAGACACAAGAGCAAGAGTTTAGCAATTAGCAGAGTTACCCCATCCGGTATCCTGTGCATTAGCACAGCAGGGAATCCCCTGAGTGAAGGTCTGATTCTGCTGCATATATGGAAAGAGACTTCATGTTATTAACTTTCTAATAGTGTTTAAAGAGTATTTTGATCCATCTCACAGGATCAGACTCAAGCTTAATAGGAACTGGTTCTTTTTGGCCTCTGCTATACTGTCCATTAAGTACCTTCTACAAGCCAGTGAGTGCAGTGTTGCCAAGAAGCCTTCCCTGACACGTTTCTCATTGTGGTTTGCAGATATCCTGACAAGGGCTTTGATGATAATTACTGCCGCAATCCTGATGGCAAGCTGAGACCATGGTGCTACACTCTTGACCCTAACACCCCCTGGGAGTTCTGTGCAATTAAAACGTGTGGTGAGTTCAAGCAAAATTTATTACTTCCTTTTCCTTCCCAAAATCTGGATACAGATAGTTCAAGCAATATAGGACTACAGCTAGTTCATTCATTGCCCTTCACTGATTTTTAAAACATAGCTTTCAAAGACATTATATTTAATCCAGACACGAAATAAAAGAGTTGTGTGCTACTTAGCACTGGAATACATGTCTATCTTACATACAGGAAGTTGCATTAAAATGTAGGCAAATCAAGAACTAAATAAGTGAGGCAACATCATCATCATGAAGATCTCATGTATGGTATTAATTTGGCCATGCTGGGCATCTGCATTACAATTTTGCAGTGGTCCTACTCAGTGGTCTCTCTGTCAACAACTGTTCATTGCTTTGTTTTCCTCTTGCACATCGTGTGATTCTAGGTCTTGGATCCTGCACACTATTCAAGACAGAATTACTAATTTCCATATTCAGCACTCCAGTATCAAAGCACTCCACAGGCAATTAATTTCTTTTCATCCCCCAACTACAATATGGTGACTTTTGTTATCCTCACTTTGCAGACAGGGAATTGAATCAAAGTAACATTAAGGTATACAAGTGTTGGATGCCCACTTTGAAATGCTTTGGTTCATAATTTTTAGAGCATTCTGTGGCATGTTCTGTCTTCAAAGTGCAGATCCTTTTAAATTTGGTAGTAGCTCTGACAACTCTGTTCTACTGATAATTAGATGTCTTAAATGAGCAGTACAGGGACAATGAGGAAGGTAAATGTATTGGACCTCCCTTGAAAATTTGGATAAAGTAATTTTTCTAACTTTCATGGTAATGCTGGGGCTGAGGCAGATGGTAGAATTAAGTTTTGTTGGGACATGCTTTAATCAGGAAACCAAGATGTGCATCTCTGAAATTCCTTGCCTCATTTACAGCTTGTGGGATCTACAGATGATGGTCTTCTTTCTTATGTGTCATGCTTCTCATTGCCAGATTTGGGTTCAATTTTTTGCTCTTAGTGAACTGACAATATGTGAAATAACCAGAGTACAAGCATGATATTAAAGGCAATCTCATAATACCTGGGCAGATTTTTTTATTCTCTTCTCAAAAAATTTTGTTTATAACATCTTGGGAATAAAGGCAATTTCTGAAAACAAGACATGACTAACTGAATCCATACTGTAGAAGCCTGTCAGAGTCATGTGCCCCAGCTCTGTGACACAGTCCCCAGGAAAACAGGCAGAAAAGGTAAAACAGTATTTTTGGATTTTCCGTGAAGTAGAGGAAAAGAGAAACTTCTAAAACTGCTCAGTGAAACTCAGTGTCATGTTTGCTCATGAGAAAATCAGTTTCTCTTAGATCTGCAGTTTTGGAAACTACAATTTCCATTGTTGTCCTGCTTCAATTTTGACCAAAATTAAGTGTTAAAAAAAATAATCCTCAAAACCAGACGCTCTGCTTTTCATCTAGCTCTAAGTGCCACTTCAGTAGGTTTGTGTAATTATAAAATTCATTTGGCTCTCTTGGGAGGACGATAGAAGAGAATAGATTCTATTAAAAAGATCAACAAAGCTTACCTGGAACTGGATTTACATGAGAATTCAAAAAAGGGGAAAAAAAGAAAAAAAAATAACAAAAGGAGTGATTTTTAATGATTGTTTAATTTTCAAGGTTCTCTGTATTTTGTTGTTATTGTTATATAAACCAAGATAAGCCATTACCAGGGTATCTAAAATCCAGATAAAATAGAGACAGTAGTGAATCTTACAAAAAGTCTGTTTCCATAATGTGAACCTGTATTTTTCCTATAATGTTACCATATATATAAACACCGGAGAGGGGGGGAGAGCAGTGTTGCTACCTAAAGGGGGAAGCATGGCATTCTTCATCTTCACTCGGAATTCTTACCAAACCAAATTATGCCATGTTTTCTGCTTTCACCACTGACAGTTCAGAATTTTCTCTTCTTGCTTGTTCTTGGCTTAGGCCATTGGTGTGTCACTTCTTATCAGTCAATTTTTTGAAATCCAAAGGTTGAGTAAGAATACTCTTAATGTGCTTCCTGAAGTAGAGTAACTGAAATTATTCTGCACTATCATATGTCATTGTAAATCCAGTATAAGGTAGTTAAAATTAGCAAAATTATTCTACTGTAAAAAAGTGAGGTTAATTTGCTTCTTTGGGTAATGTCTGTAATCAGGTTCTCCAGAGACAGAAGAAACTTTTAACAGGACTACTTAATGTAGTACTTAATTACTTAATTCATTAAGTTAGGAGTTGTTGTTGCTTTGGGTTTTTGCTTTGTGTTTTTTGTTTTTGTGGTTTTGTTTTGTTTTTTTAAACCGTGCTTCCTACATTTCTCTAATTATTAGATAATATATGAATCATATGTAGCATACTAGATCTGTTCTTTTTCTCTGGTAGAAGTGTTTTTATTATGAAAAAAAAAATATTCCTAAGTTACAGCTGACTGTTTCACAAATGAAACTTTTATAAACCTTTATCCTTTGGCATTTCCTGAGCTGATGTGTCAGTGTTCTGAGGACTCACATCTGGCACTGTTGGTCACGTAAGCTTACAGTCCATGCAACTTTCAGTAGCTACAGTCTGGCCTAAGCTTTATAAAACAGTTGGGTGGAAGATCTCCTGCAAACTACTGTAATGTCACCTTTGTCTACCCGAGTCACAATTAGAGTCCTGAAGAAAAGGTAATCATCAAAATGAAATCTAAAAAAATCCCACAATGTAATGATTTTAATGTTGTGATGAAAACCTTTTGTCTCATTTCTAGGCAAAAGTTGACTGAAACAACTAGAAATTCTTTCTTTCATCTTCACTTAGAAAATATATTAAGATCAGTGGAAATGTCATATACAAAACTGTATTTTTTGCTGCAGAAAACTCTAGATATTTGGAAATTACTGAAACAATCTATATGAGGAAGAACACGAAAGTAGTGATCTTGAAAGTGCTTAATTCAGCAGATATTTTCCAAGGATGTTTAGCACAGGCATATGGCATTGCTCTCTACATAAGATGCAATGCTGTTCAGTGCTTTCCTTTGTAACCTGGAGAGGGAATTCATTGCTGATATTACAGTTATATCACCAGCTTGGTGACCAGAATACCAACACAAAATATCAAAGCCCTTTTTTCAGTTTTTTGTCTTTGTTGAGGAACATAGAAAAACTATTTTCCCAACTCCTAGCAGGGAGCCCAAAACACTAGGCCGTTCTGGGTTTCAGTGGCTGCTCCATTTTCTGAAGCTGTGGCTGCGTGCAATCTCAGTGCACTAAAAAGAGAACATCATGAGTTATATGTCTTAATAGCTTTGTGGTTTGGATTCTCACACAGGTTTTTAATTCCTATGATGAGGACTGTTTATATATTTTACAAGAAATACTAATTAGAAAAAATACTTTGCTAATCCGAGTCCTTGGACCATATACAAAAACGTAGGTGTCCTCCCTTTGGGGGAGTGACCACAAGGTAGCATGCTGCTTTGTGGTTTTTGCTACATGTCATGAGTGCTAGTATGCTCTATAGCCAAAATGCTGACAACAGCTCATATACAAAATTTTCGGCAAAAAAGTCAGTGGAAGGAAGCATTCAGAAAGTAAATATGTTTTTAAGACTGAGGAGACAGGAGGGCATTGTAACTTTATTTCCAAGCACAGAAGGCAGCATAAAACATTGTGGCTTACAGCCAGGGCTGTGAGAAAGAGATGACAGGAGCAATTAGGGATTAGAGATGGCTCAAGCTGCAAAAATTGGATCTGGATTAAGACTTCAGGGACCCCAGGATTGGTTTGAAGTTGCTCACATATGTGTCTGTGGTTTTGGCTTGAGACAATTTTTAGTTAGAAGAGAGGATAAAAGGACAACTATGACAGCAATGAAGAAGTGTAGGATGAAATGAAGAAATGGAAGCAGTGACAGTAAATATGAAAAAAGAAAATGACTGTTACTTTGGCATGAATGAAGATATGGACTATAGGGAAGACAGGATTGTGGAGCTTATACCACTTTTTAAAAAAAAGAAAAAAGGATAACCGCACTTCTGTGGATGGACTACAGGGCTATGAGAGAGGTGCTGAAGCCCAGAAATGAAGCTGCATATGTCAGTCATTCGATAGCTGCAGAGCTGTGTGGAGTTATTATGGTAAGGACAGTGTTTGGTTGTTGCCTAACTGATTTCCAACCAGCCTAGCTGATTTTAGCATGGATTTAGCCTTTGCTGTCAGTACACATAGGCAATAGGCAGGGGTGACTGGAGCCTGAAAAGCCCTGAGAGAATTTAGTAAGGGTCTGGGTTTGATGGGAAAAAGCAAGTAATGAAACAGCAAAATTGAGAATCTAGGTATAAAACAAAGTGTTTCAGCGTGCATACAATTTTGGGGAAGGCAAAGAATCACCAATATTAGATTACTCATTCTTTAGAAGCAGAGATTTCCACTGCCCATTTGAATGTGAAGTTCTGATTAAAGAGTTATTTGTTGAATCATAGTATGTAAACAAATAAAAGTGCCACTCAGTTTAAGCTTAATATTTATGTAAGATAAAGATGTTTACAGAAAGGAGGCAGTGAAGAGACTAATGTTTAGTAGTTAATAAAGTGTTACCTTCCACCTTGCTTCACATGGAGGCATAGCAGAGGTCAAGCATTCACTGTGTACGCAATGGCTTAATCTACATTTCCTCAAAAAAGGATCCTTCTCAGATCCTTTTCATCATCTCTATGATAGTTTTGAAAGTAAGATTTAAGAGGTCTGAACCTGCAGAGATCCAGATATTTTTTGTTCAATGGATTTAAGGCCTAGTTGTAGACATTAGAATAACCTGGAAAGATCTCTCTGTGTTCAAGGACAAATGAACTGTAGGTGTGCAGGTTTTAGGTGACAATGAGTTTTTCAGTATTGTGATTTTTGAGCTTGGGTCTGATTTATTTCATCACTTTCTCGTATGTTTTTACTGAAAAAAACCCCAAAACACTAGAAATCAGTCAGGTTTTTTTATTCCATGTTTCATGTACTGTGAGATAGTACATTGAAGGAAACATGTGGAAAGAAAAGAACTGCCGCTATCATACTACCCAGAACTGTAGATCATATTGCTTGAGGTAGGGATGCCTGGATGCAGTGTAACTGAGCATGAGCAGCTTTTCCCCATAACACCACTAAAGTTTCTTACTGACATTTGCAGAATTGCATGGATCAGGTTTAATGAGGACTTTGCTGTGTATAGAACACTTTCTTTACTGGGTTAAGGCACCTCTTATCTTTTAATATCTACTTTTAAAAGTCTTTTGTTAAAATCAGGGCACGTTTTCCTCTTGTTGACTGACACACTAGGAAAGACATTGCAAGAATATAAGCAAAATTAGGAATTTTCCTGATGAAGTAATTTAGGACTCTGCTTCTTTTCCAACTACGTCTTTTTCCAAAAATACATAGATGGTATTACCATGAAAGAACATGAATACTCCAGCAAAATCCCTACCTTCTTTTAAGTCAGTAGGGGTTTCATCATTGACCTAAAATTTGTGCAGGATTTTCTTCTGGGTCATTGGGATTAAAGACATAAATAGTACTCTAACTGATTACTTCAGCTGTAGAATGACTCAAGGCCCCTGCTGATTCCCTCATGCTGATATTAGTGTGAGAACCAGAACTGAGAAGACTATCTGTGGCTTTACACATGAAGCTCTGGACAATGTTTCATCTCTTTACTTAAGCATCTATGAATGCATGAACTAGCACTTTATTAACAAAGTTACTTATTTTTAAGTATCAAAATAGGGAGAGTTTTACAGAAAAAAGGAAACCTTTGCATTATTACACTTTGGTTGGGGACTTTAGAGTGAACATGTGAAGATAGAAATACTACTAACAGTAAATCTTGAAGTAGCTGTCTGAATTACATGGTTAATTTGAGTCATCTAGAACACAAAAAAATATTACAACAAAGTTCAAAAGTAGCAAAGCGCTGCTAGACAATTACCAAATTCTTTTGTTCATAATGAAGTCTCATACAGGAATAAGAAGTAACGTTTAATTAATAAACCATAAATAGTACTCTTTTATAAGATGATGTTTTGTGTGGTCTTCATTTAACAGTACTTTTTATCTCAGTTCAGGACTATAAAATCTGAACTGGAACAAAAAGAAAAGGGCACTTCTAATATGAAATTAAAGTACCTGCCTGCATAGTAAGGGTTCCTTATTGAATTTAAATTCATCTTCTAACTTAATTCATAATGTCTTTCTCATTAGAACGAGCCCTTAGAGTTGCAGGTCTTAATTTATGTTTTAAAGGAACTGCTAGGATAAGGGTGGGAATACAGCCTTATTGATTTTTAGCTTAATCTTGTTTCCACCTTGTAAGGGAACTGGTGAGTGTGGTCTCAAGACTCTTTCACCAGTGCCCTGCACATCTGATGTTCATGCTCAGAGTTATTAAACTTTAGATAATTGGCTATGCGGGTGACAAGAGTAATTAGCCTCAAGAACAAGACCAGTATTGAATGGACATGACTATGTAAGTTGTAGGCTTGGACAACCTGGGCACTTCTTAATGTTTGGCAACTGCCTTTTAGTCTGCAGAGCACCTCTGTAATGGCTGGTGAGGCAGGCACTGCTCCTCCAGCTTTCACACATCCTTGTGAGCATCCAGACCACCTTTCATTAACATGAACAGGGAGACTGTTCCCATCATGCCTGTTTGTGGAAATCACCAGATGAATGAAGGATTTGTTGAGCCTTTTTTGATAACTCTTGAGCTTTCTGTGAGACTGAAGAGCCAGAACGGCAGAGGTTGTTTCTGAGGGCACCAGCCCTCAGAATTTCAGAGTTAAATTTCAAAAATATTTTTAAATTTCATTTTTCATGTTTGAAAATTAGACATTTGTAGGAAATGCAGGTGGTATAGCAAGAAGAATTTGGGGAGGGTTCTTCTGTGGACCTTTTGGAATGATAGAATTGCTTTATTAATTCAAATAAAAATATTTCAATGATCCTCTTCATCTCTAGAATTCTTACTGAGAGCTGCCACAAAGTAGTAGTAGCAGATAATCTATCACACATTGCAGATTTTGAAATAATTCCTCTCTTAGCCATTATAATGTAAGTCTTTCCAGTAGTGGTTTGACTGTGCAAGTATTCATGACAATGTGATGGTTAAGCTCGTCTGGTTCCTTTAAATAGGATATTTTGACACGGACAAAGTGTTGTAAAATCTGATCTACAGATAGAGGTCACAATCCAGACACATAGTGTAAGGTTTAGCGATGAGCCGTGTAACTGTAGGTGTATAAAAAGGAATGCTCTACAAAATGACTCTATGGCCTTGCTTAAATCAATTGATGCATTAGTGATTTCATTTCAGGTATGTGATTTTAAAAAAACCCACAACCACACACAATGATACATAAAAGCCTAACTATTTACTTTTTCTCTAGTATGACTGAGTACAGAGTAGATGTACTATACAGTTCATTACAGTTGAAATAGTAACTTCTTGTGTATAAATAAGGTCTTTATAATGGCTTGTATTAGATTGAATTTTTATGCATTATTATTATTCTTTAAGAAAACTTTTTGCTAGAGTTATATAGTTGTAGTGTATTAATTTACTTAGGAAATAATATGCAGCTGGGATGCCATATGTATGATGAAATTCCCCGTGGTAGGTAGCTCTTTATTTTATTTCCAAATTATACCACATCTCTTTCATTTTTAATAAAAGCATTACGTTTATATTTTGAAAAGGCTGGTATGTATTTGAATGTCGCACAGCAATGTTCAGTCTAATCAGCTAGGAGCTATTTTTGAATATAATTCCAATTTATTTTCATATATTAGTTATGATGGAAAACTGAAATATGCAACTATGTGTTTCTATTAGATGTATGAATTAATCTTTTTGTTGTCCAATTATGTAAAAAGTGAGTAATAATGATTAAAAATACAGTTACTAGCTGCAAAGCTGTTTGATGAATCCGCTAGAAAGGATGCATTTGTCAGCCTGCAGACGCCTGCTTGTGATACTTGCAGTGTCATGTCCTTTTAACTTTGGAACGAGCTTGGAACTCACAATCCCGTTGAAACAGGACAAGCTTTACAGACAAAGTGCCTTGGGAAGGAAGAATAGGAAATTAATTTGACCATGAAACACTGGTGTAAAAATGTCAACCAGATGAAGAGAAAAAGGCAAATTTTCGCTAGCATGAAGCAATGTATAATTCAACTGCAGAACTTGATGTTATCATCTGACAGGGAAGTGATCTTTAACATAGAAGATTAGACAGCAAATCAGCCAAACCCATCTGTTATGACATTTGGTTTCCTTAAAATCCATATTCTCTTCAAGTTCATAGAACTGGCTGAAGTTACCAGGAATGAACTATATTATGAGCAACACACAAATATTGTTGTAACCACTGGACCACATGAAGAAAACTATTTTTAAAATTTTATTAACAGACTTATTACTGGCGACTAATACTTCTAAGGTAATTAATAAAATTAGTCTTGTGAACAATAGCAACTACCAACAGATGGGTAGTTACTTACAAGAATATTATGTTGAGAGCTTTTTGGGACATTGTAGAATTGTTGCTCTTACTATAGTGTGTTTAGTTTTGTACTAGTTTGTATATATCTGATGCAATATCTGTGCCATTAATTTGCAATTATGAAAACTGCATAAGAAATAAAAAGAGACTTTCAAGCTATGTGAATGAGTCATTTCAAAAACCACTGTTTTTCTGAATTTGGTTCAAGACAGCCCACACTAGGGTGAATGCAGAGTATATCAACATCTGTAAAAGATCTTGTGTCTGATGAATTTGTTAGTCTTTAAAACATTTGTCTCTCCGTAGAGAATACTGATCTTTGATTTCCAAAAGCTGGGCTTTTTTTCCCCCCTCTAACTATGAGGCATAAAAAGAGAAACTTCAAGGAGGGTATAGCACATTACTTTATAATAGGATTTATCTTTTTTTTTTTTTTAAAATCTGTATCTTTTTTCCTGTGACTTGATATTCTGGGAATTCTTTGGAGAAAACCAATTGCTTTTTAATCTTGCTAATATGTATTAAGATGTTTAACAGTGTGCACATGGGTGGTCACTCAGTTTTGTAAAGCTAAGCAAATGAGAAAATATTTGCTGAACTGTAAAGACTAACCAAGAATATCTCCTGACCTTCAATGTTATAGCACAGGTCAGGTGTCTCACTGAACAAAGGCTCTTAAATGTTGCAGATTCTTTGCCTGCAAGTGGATAAACTAGCATAAGGCCTAACCCCTATTTTGATTTCATGGATATTGTGAATGTGAAGAAGAGAAAATTATTCTGTAAAAGACATCAGATTGGAGTTCTTTTGTGAAATCGCCAATTTCCATGATTTGAACTGCAATGCAGAGTTCAAACCTGACATCCTGAGCCAGGCTTAGTCTTAGGAAAATGAAACAGCACTTCTTCTTTGGGTCTGCAGATGAAAGTGTTGTGAACAGCACAGAGGCAGCACCTGAGACGTCAACTTGCATTCAGGGACAGGGTGAGGGTTATCGAGGCATGGTCAACACCATATGGAGTGGAATCCAGTGCCAGCGGTGGGATTCCCAGTTTCCTCACCAGCACAACATCACTCCTGAGAACTTCAAGTGCAAGTAAGTAGAGACATGTGGCTATTACTGCAGTGGGAAAAGAGCTTAGCTTTCAAATGCTTAGAAATTCATGCCACCAAAGTAGACTATAGGATCTCTGTCCTTGCTCTGTGATCTGATGCATTCACTCTACTTGCTGATGCTGAAACCCATTTGAACAAGGGAAAATCAGTTATTCACATCTCAAAATATTAGTTCTAGATGAACTTGTGTAAAACTGTGGGGTTTTTTATGAACTTTTTCTTCAAGCATGTATTCACCAATTTAATTGATTGTGAAGTGTATGGATGTTTTCCAGACTGGGATATGAATCCCAATAGTGCTGGTACATTACTATTGTTTTTCTTTCATGGAGGTAAGTACTTGTGAGCAGTTTAGTTACTGACTTTAACTTAATATGTCCTAAATGTTACCTAAGTGTAATCTCCTTGGCAATACCTGACATTTATAATATTTGACAACACTTCTTTTATTTTCCATCTTTTTAATCCTTTTTATGTCTCATTACTAAGTGTACTTTTATGAATAGGACTGTTTTTACATTAAGGACCACTGGTCATCTAACCCTTCTGTACAGTTCTTAAACTCCCAGGACGTGAATAATCTACTTATTTTAGGCAGTTACCTTAGTTGTGCTCTTTCAGTCCTTTTTTCACTGAGCATAGAGAAAACCTGTCAGACCAGCATGGGCGTAAAGCCTGGTTTGTACTAGATGTCCTTATTGATGGCTAAATATCAGTCTGGGCTTCTGCTGGAATTTAATAGTGTGGATCTTTCAAAGTAGAGAAAATATTCCAGTCTGAGTTCAGATTCTCTCTCTAACAATAGCTTGTATGAGTAAGACAGTTAGGTTTGTTGTTTTAATCCCTTCACTGCTATTGTTCAGTTTATTGATCAAAGACTGTGTATTTTAAAGCATCTGAAATGTAATGTCATTGTAATAGAAAATAGGACTAATCCTGAGCTTCCTCTGTCAATCTCAGAACTACCTTGAATTTACCTGGAAGTTAGTGCTTAAGCCTGATCTCACAGGCTTTTCTCAGACAAACCACCACTTAAACCAATTTGCGCTGTATCTACGTAACGCTGCTGCAGGATTAGGCCCTCATGCAGTTTTAACAACGTTCCTAGCACTGTAGCAGAGCTAACAATATTAGGACTGCTTATTCAGCCAAGGCTTGAGAGAGTGGTGGTTATTCAGGCCAATAACTTGAGTAAAATCAACAGAACTGCTGGTGTGACTGTTCAAAACTCACATGACTAAGAATTACAGTATTAGGCCCATTCTTTCCATAGTCTATTGTCAGTGAGTGCTGCAGCTAGAAAAATGCAGTGAAATACAGAGATGGACAGAACATGGCAACAACTGTCAGGAGATGGGAAAATAAAACTTACATTTAAGAAGTTTGACTATTTCATGCAAGCTGCAAAAGACATTTAAAGATGTTCCCTTGTGGCTAACTTTTACTTTAAAGGTAACAGCTGTATAGAATTTCAACATACATTTTTTTATATTCCAAGATTCAGTTTCTTAAATGAATTGCTGACAGTCTACAGGATTGTTTCTCTAAACTCAGCAGAACCATTCAAAGTACAGGGAATTTTAAGCACTTTGGTAATGTTTGTATTTAAAAGCACTTGTAATGGATTGCAGGTGTATCCAATGTCAGCTTGCATGCAAATTTTGATGGAGAATCCTGAATAAAAATAAGCTGTATTGAAAATATTGTTAATCTTCAAGTGAAATCTTATATCCAGTCAAAACATAGGTCCACTGAAAATTAATTCCCATAACCATATTCTTATTACAATTACTCTGTTTTTCTGGACACTGTGTTCCTATTGGGTCCTCATCTCCTTGCACTTGACACTGATCAGTAACATACAGAACTTAAGGACCCTACATTATCACTAATTCATAATAAAAAGCAATAGAATGCATCAGTGGTTTTAGGTTATCCCTGCTGTGAGTGAACATATTTATTTTTACAGGGATTTGAGGGAGAACTACTGCCGAAATCCAGATGGATCTGAATCACCCTGGTGTTTTACCACTGACCCAAACATCCGTATCGGTTATTGCTCCCAGATTCCTAAGTGCGATGTATCAAGTGAACAAGGTAACAGAGGGAAGAGCGATAACGTGATTTTAAGTGAATGCTGTACTGTTCCAAATGGCAGATAGGCAGGCTTGAAAACCGGAGAAGTTGGTCTCAGTACATCTGTATTACACCTGTGTAGTTCCGCTTTGGTTTTATTTGCATACTTGGGATTCGTCATGGTGTAAATGAGATTCATTTCTCAGTTCATATTTTGATTCCAGCTGGGAAAGATGCAGAAAAGATTCACTATTGGATCTGATTTTTAGACAAGGTGAATCTCTATGCCATTTATTAGCTGGAGATCTGCTCTACTCTCTTACCTTTCCTGGTTTGAAAGGCCTTTTTCCAGAGCTGAGACAATTTTCTTGGTTCACAGTCTTTTTATAATTATATATGAGGTCACCAAAAGTAATTTTTTAAACTTATTTTTTCCATATACCCCCTTGTTTAAAAGGAGTTGAGCTAAAAAAAAACGACATGGGACTTCCCATTTAGCCTCTTAGCTTCAAGTTTTTACCTCTGCCTATAAAATCCACTCTGAGTCTTCAGGCAAATGTTGTTTTTCCCATGTAGTCTTGGTATTACTCTAAAGAGTATTATTGCATCCTGAGAACTGATGTCAATCATAGCATAAACCGAGGCTGAGACTTCAGACCTACGACGCTACATCAAGCTGCATTAAGATCTCCATCTTTAAATTTTAGCCATTTTTTCTCTTATAATTTGAAAGAGTTACAGTTGCAAGAGTCATGTAAGAGAAAGGATTAAACTTTGACTTTCGTTCTGTGGTTTTTGTAAAGTATCAATTATCAAAAAGTAAAAATACTGATGAATATGAAATGAAATGCTTTGTACAAAAAGTCTTTATAGTAGTGATCATTTTAACAATCCTCTTGAAAAGTCTCAGAAAAGCTTGTGATAAAAGCTCATGAATTAAACATGACTTCTGCTGGAGAGAACAGGCAAATTTTTGAATTACATTAAAATTAAAGTCATGTTGATTTTTTGATTTTGCTAAAGTAGAACTTCAGTCTAGAATTATGTACTGTTGCCAGTATCCAGAATCTACACAAAGGTAAGTTGTTTCAAACAGGCTAAGAGTGCCTGCTTTTTGAGGAGGGAGGAATAAGGTGGGTTTTTTTCTTTGTTTTGTATAAAATAGCTCTTGACAACTTTTAGAATATTCTGTGTGACCCTTCTAAATGAACCATAAACTAACTATTTATGAAAGAAATTTTCCCAGCTTATCTAAGTAAGACAAAATTCAAAATGCTACTGTGTTGAGAATGAAGGCCTCAAGCAGGAGATTATGTATCTAAATTTGAAAACTTTCTTCAATTTTCTTTCTAATTTGGTTTATATATTTGTCTGATTTATATTGTATAGTGTTCGCTAAATATAATACCTGTTTTTAATTATTTGGGTTACTGATATAAAGGAAGAGTTTTCTTTTCAATGTTGCACAATCACCCACCTCTTTTTTTCATCTCAACATTCTTTATTCAGATTGTTATCGTGGCAATGGCAAGAGTTACATGGGGAATCTATCCAAGACAAGATTTGGGCTAACTTGCTCCACATGGGACAAGAATATTGAAGACTTACGTAGGTGTGTACATATGAAACAGAAAGAGATGGTTCAGTGAGTCTTGAATAAATACTGCCTCCAGATGGCATCGCTTTGTCTTCTACAGTGATTCTAAAATAGCCCCTTATGCCCTGGAGCTTTTAGTATCTTTTTTTTTCTTTTTTTTTTTTTCCTTGGTGTTTAAATATATTACACAACATGTCTTTGTTCAGGCTAACCACTAATTGCAGGCTTTGGGATGCTTCTTAGTGTTTAGTTTACTGGCCTGGTTTACCCCATCTTTGTCCTTGAAAGTTTGTTCTATAAGTTTAGGAATGAAGTAGGATATGGTTATCTCATCAATCTAAACTCATCGTTCATGCTGCTTCTGCAGGAGGTCAGACTTAGAACAACCTAAGGTCTCTTGAAGCCTGAAATTGAATCTTGAGTCTATGATCTAATGACATTAACATCAAATGCCACTAAAGCAATTTGCAATTTCTGTTGTTTATCATTACTTTGGCTTCATATTCAAGTAGTGGGAATGGCAATTTACTTTATTAGTTAAAGTAAAAATGAATCAGTGTTAAGTACAAAAGAAGTTGTGACTTTCCAAGACTTTTTCAATCATGTCAGGATCCTCAGTGTTGTCTCTGCTTGTTCAGAACAGTAGATTAATAAATCTCAGGAGTGACAAGAACAATGTCTTCCAGGTACCGCACAAAGACAAATTTTGCTATGTATTAGATATTACACACATCAGTGGCCCAGATGGAAACAGTTTTGCCTTTACTTTCCTTTAGCTCCTGAAGTCGATGGGATTATGTCTATATTACCTTTAGTACTTGTTGAGTTAGTGCTCATGATCACCACATAGTGCCCAACGTATTAACCAGTGCCCTATGGAATTTGCTGCTGACTTGATTGTCAGTCAGGTGAAGGTGTGTAAGTCAGTAAGGCAGCATTTGGGGAAGCTGTATTGGAAAAGGCACACTTCGGTGGCACTGTCTGGAATCACCAACTGGACTATATGTATTTTTCCGCACACAGAGTCAGAGACAGCATACATATTCCAGTGTGCTGTCCATGTAAGGGAGGCAAAGGTTTAAGATCATGACTTCTGAGAGCTCTGATAAGTCTTCAGTCAGCTGTGAATGAGGCAGCTTGAACCTACTGGATGCTCAATGCAATTACATTTATATAATCTCGAGCATAGATCAGGCTTTCTTCTCTTACTCCCACAAATTTTCCATCTGGGAACTTCTTTGGGGAGTTATCTGTCTCCCTCCAGCGGTTACTCTGGTTATAGGTGTGCTAAAAGCTCTGTGCATGGTTGGTTATGGACTAAAAGAGCAGTGCAGCTGTAACTTAGGAAGCCTATATGCTTCTGTCTGATAAGCCAGAAATAAACATCTTTCTCTGCTTCAGATTTTCACCCCAAAATTTCACCTTTAAAGTGCTTTGTGTAGGTTTGCAACCTAGGTGATCTATCACTGCAGTTTGTCTGGGCCATTCACCTTTCTCCTTGCCTGCTGCTCAGTCTTGCAAACTTTCTTGACTTTGTCTTTCCTTTGCCTAAGATTTAGTTTTGTTTGCAGCTTCAGTGTTCCCTTGTGCTAACTGTTAATCTGCAGGGAGAAGGTACCTGTGCTCCCAGAGAGGCCTGCAGATTTGCTGAGGGCAACACAGATGCTCTTCTAATAAGTGTAACGATCCCTCCTGAGGGTATTCAGTGATTTTAGCTCTAGTGAGAGATTGGAAACCTCCCAGCTGTCTGGTGGACACAGTGCTTTAGATACCAAGCAGAGGAAACTTGGACCCAGATCCAGCAAATACTTGGGTCTCATTGTCCCTTTGATTTTAACCCTGACCTGTAGGCTTCTCAATCAGCTAGTATTACAATGTGGAGCAAAGCAACATTTAAGCTTTGAAAATTTGGGCTATAGTATAAAGCTTTTCAGCACTTTGAATTTTTTTTCCCTGTAGGCATATACAAATATTCAGAGAACCAGATGTTAGTAAACTGAAGAAAAACTATTGCCGCAATCCAGATGATGATTTTCATGGTCCCTGGTGTTACACAGATGACCCTCTCGTCCCCTGGGATTACTGCCCTATTTCTCGATGTGAGTACTTGCTACGCCTCAGGCATTGTCAGCTGTGTGCTCCCAGTAGTGAAGCCATGGTGTCATATGCGTATGCATACCTTTCTATTGTCACTTGTGGCAGCAGAAAATGCATAATTCTATCAAGAATCAATTGTGCATGACTGAGAAGGAATGGACAGAAGCTGCCTGTGCAAGATATGAACAAGGGGTCCTTTTACTTGACCAGCTTGGAGATTTCAAGGCTTATTTATGCAGCGGGAGCATAAAAGGGCTATTACAGATGGTCAAACATTTTCCAACAGATCTAGGTATTGAATGAGAGCTGGATGAAGACAAGGAATTGTCTAGTGGTCAGAATGCTGGCTGTGGCCTCAAGAAACTCGGGGAAAAGCTTCGTAGTCTCTCTGTGTGATCTGTATTTGTTTGTAAAGTTAGGATAACTCACTATATATATGCTGAAGTGTATATGTGCTATATAGATTAGATTCTGCTTTCAGATGTTTATGAGATGATGTAACTCCTGGCAAGGATTAGGAACATCACTCCTCCAAAGCTGCATGTTAAAATCTAAATATCTTAAATAAACAAAATTAAAAATTATAGGGAATTCAGTAATAAACTGACCTTAAGTGAAAAAAGATAGATTTATGCTGAAAAGTGTGCAATTCAAATTGGTGTTCAAAATTTTTCTCTTCAATTCTTATTTCTAAATCACCATGTTGTATATCCTAGGAGAACATTTAAATGGTAAATTAAGCTTTTGAATGAACGTCTGTGATCTCTAGAGATTAAGGATAATGTTACATTCATTCCTAGCAGCAATCTGCTGCAATTCCTCATAGTCTGAACTGCAGCATCTCTAAGAGATGATATTTGAAGTCTCAGGTGATATTTTGGCATCTATGTGAAGAGTAAACAAACTGTGCAAAAGGTTATTTGTGTCAATGTAGATAAAGAACAACAACTAAAGATGTATAAATTTTATTCACTCACTCTGAGTTCATTATCTGGATCTATGAATTCCCAAAGAAATATTCACAGCAAACATTTGTAGGGCATCTGGCAATGGTGAGTATTATGACTTCTGGAATCAAACTCCAGAGCTGGAATGTCTGTTTTACAATTATAACTCATATGGACTAGCATTAAACTACTAGTAGCTCACTGACAACCAGCTTAACCAGTACAGACAAGGTGGTGGCAGTTCCCAAGTGTACTTACTTGGTGCTTTTAACTGTCTCTTCAAACTGCACCATATATATATATATATTTATATATGTATATATATGTACATACACATATGCTTACACAGACACATACACATATGTGTATATATACACATGGAGATTTAACTATTTATATATATTTGCTTAATGATGGAAATCTAATTGGATGAGACTGTTTAAATTTTGCCTGTGCAAATTTTCAGTAGCTACACCTCTATCTCTAGCTCAGAATGCTGGATCACTCTGCAGGCTTCACTGGAGGCAAAAATTTTGAACCAAGTTTAAGCAACCTTGTTGTAACTGTATTTTGACTTGGACTATATGATAGAATCATAGAATCATTATGGTTGGAAGAGACCTCAAAGATCACCAAGTCCAACCATATACCCAATGCCACCATGCCCACTAAACCCACTAAACTATGTCTTGAAGCACCACATCTAAACATTGTTTGAACACCTCCAGGGATGGTGAGTCCACCACCTCCCTGGAAATCCCATTCCAATGCTTAACGACTCTAACAGTGAAGAAATTCTTCCTAATCTCCAACCTGAACCTCCCTTGGTGCAACTTGAGACCGTTTCCTCTTGTCCTGTCGCTAGTGTCCAACCCCTGCCCCCAGCTACAACCTCCTTTCAGGTAGTTGTAGAGAGCGATCAGGTCTCCCCTCAGCCTCCTTTTCTCCAGACTAAACAACCCCAGCTCCCTCAGCAGCTGCCCATCAGACTTGTGCTCCAGGACCCATCACCACCTTCATTGCCCATCTCTGGACATGCTCCAGCACCTCCATGTCCTTCTTGTTGTGAGAGGCCCAAAACTGAACACAGTACTTGAGGTGCAGCCTCACCAGCGCCAAGTACAAAGGGACGATCATTTCTCTAGTCCTGCTGGCCACACTATTTCTGATAAGAGCCAGGACACTGTTGACCTTCTTGGCCACTTGGGCACACTGCTGCCTCATGTTCAGCCAGCTGTCAAGCAGCACCCCCAGGTCTTTTTCTGCAGGGCATCTTTCCAGCTGTTCGTCCCCAAGCCTGTAAATGATGGAAGATGGAAGAATCAAACCAGATTTTGGGGAACACATTTTGATAAGGATAAGTTTTTGCTGACAACAGCATAAAAGGACTTTGGAAGTTTAAAAGATTTTTAAGGAAATTAGAAATTTTCAGTAAATGTGGTGTAGATTTAATCACATGACTTCTATAGTTCCTGAAAGCTTATAGAAAAGTCGCAACTTCATTTTTCAGCATTTGCTTGTTCGAATGAAACACGTAAACTGAACATGATAGATAGCCTGATGTATTCAGGATTCAGCCAAGAAGAAAAATGCTTGAAACTCCTGTTGCAGAATGTTTAATTCTTATTTCATTCTATTGGAATGAAATTCTGCCTTCTTGTTAATCCTTACCAAACTGTCCTTGTGCAGAGTATTAAAGAAATCATTGAAGTTTAAAATGTTGTGAACTATTAAAATTAACAATATCCCATATGCTGTTTATTTTTACTCTATTCAATTTTTAGATGTGTTATAATTTTGTACTATGGCAATCTTATGTGTCTGTCTAGGTGAAGGTGATACAACTCCTACTACAACCAACTTGGATGGTAAGTGAGTTTGCAGATGTACCGTGCAGCGCATATATTGTATCTTCTAAGATTAGCCATTTCTTTCTGATTGGGAAACAAGAGAAAGATCAATTAAAGATACAAAAAAATATACAGCTTAGGAAAAATTGCTTTTACAAGAGGTAAATGTAGACTAGCTTTATTATACTCCTTTATCTATTCTCACTGTCCTGTATTGCCAGTGCTAAGATATGGTAATGATTTTCGATGTTTGCTTTATAACTATGTAAAGCTCTGAAAAACCTATTAAAAATATGTATTAAAAATATGTATTTTATATTCCCTATGAATATTTATGTAGACTGACCCAACTTCACTGAAGTAGTTTTGATTCTCTAGAAATATATGTCATTAACGCAGGAAAGTTAATCCGTAATAAATATTGACCTTCTTGTGGTCCTTATGTGCAACTGTACAGGTTTCCTACTGCAGTTTTTAGTAAAATGTGATCTCTGGACCTGCTTTCAGATACTGTCATTCCTTGTGCCTCAACAAAACATTTGAGAGTTGTAAATGGAATCCCAACACAAACTAACGAAGGATGGGTGGTTAGTTTAACATACAGGTAACTATCACTTTGATTAGATAGACCATACATCTACTAGGATATTTGTTTTGGAACTCTAGAAAATGTAGACCATAATAAGAATACTTCTAGATTGCAGTCAAATTATGTAAAAGCAGAAAATCAGCATTCCTGGAACATCAGGTGATTCCATAGTATTCACTCTGTCAGTGAAATATTTATATGTTCATTATCACTAACTTACACATGAGCTTGTAAAGCATTCATAGCATTCTCCTCTTTCAATGAGTTTCTGCAGACCTTTTTATAACATTGGCTTAGCATCCAGCATTAAACTGTTTATTTTAGAGACTGTTACAAAAAAATTGAGTTTCATGTCAATATTTTCATTTTAACAGCAGTGCATTTAGATGTGAAGTGTTGGATTCAGTATTTATGCCCATGTCAAATTCAGCTTTCTGCTCGTATCATTGCATGCAATTAAAATGTATTCTGTATTAAAAAAATAAGGAGGAGCTATAAGGAAATCCTTTCCATTCTGTAAAACAAGACCCTAACATGTACAGCTGGAAACATGTATTATATTCTATCAGTTCTTATTTTGCTACTGTGTAAAAGCCAGAACACAGAATTACTGTTTCCTACATTCATTGCTGTGGTTCATAACTCATCAGCTGGAAGCGTGAATCATTAATGTATAACAGGAGGTATATCTCATGCATCAGCCCTGTATCTTCTATTATGAAAAAAAAAAAGTAAAAAAATATTTTTTGTCTGCTGGTACAGACTATGGTACAACTCAATTCTATTAGCTTATGATTCTTTATCTCTTATAAAAACATGTTGCAAAATAGGTCTTAAATGAAAAATTGGAGTAAAGGAAAACATTAAAAGCCTATTTTCTACTTTGCTTCATTGCTAGAGAAATTCTGGGGGTCCTTCCTATCCTTGGTAATCTTTGCATCTTATGAGATTCAGTCAGAGCTAGACCTGTCTGTTGTCTGAAACAAAATCTTAATGGCTTCAGGACTTTCTACAAAAAAATAACTGTACACCTCAAAATGGAATTGCCATGTCTGAATGTTAAAAGCTTAGTGATACTTAGAAACTTGTATTCATATTTGGTAACCAAGGCCCACCTCTAAATGTTAAATTAATCAATGACACATTTTCTTGTATATCCAATCCAGATTCTGTTATCAGGTCTATTTAAGCGTATTTCAATGAATTTAATCTATTTCATGGAATGACCTCTGACTTTGTCCCACATTTAAATAAGAAGTTTAACTTTCCTATGTGTACTATTCAATCTTCTAAAGCAGATGATGCCATCTTGTAAATTCCTTTTGATAATTAGTGATGCAAATATAACATGGAAGAACACATTTATACTCCTGATTGTGACATTTTTATAATAAAACTGGGCAGAAGCTATATTTTAAAAAGAATCCAGCCTTTTGGACCAGATATTTTGTTCCTAAACCAAAATAAAATAAAAAAAAAAAAAAGAAAAAAAAAAAAAAAGGCGGCAAGCATCTGTGTCATTCTGCTGTCTTTGAACTCCATGTAGAGTCTGGGCTCCTTCCAGCAGTTCTTTGCAAAGCTTTGAACATTTGTGTGATTTGAATTTATAAATTGTGAGATTTTAAGCTTTTCCCAAATTGCTGACAATTCTGATGCACTTTCCAAAGAGCTGCAAAAAATAAATGTGATTATGGAGGCACAGAGAAGGAAACTAATTAATCTCCATTCCGCAGTCGTCTTTATTTTTGAAAGAACTGTCATGCTTAATTGCTTTAATTTTACTTGATATATTACGCTGCAGGTTTTCTATAATCACGTGTAGGATGTCATACGTTGCAGATTGTTTCCAACTGAAGTATGTGGGGACAGAAATCTCATAGGGGTTGTAATCAAATAGGAACTCTCCACCTTGAGGTCAATGCTTTGAGTAATACCTACAAGAATAATGACCACATGTTGTTTACATCTGGTGGCAGTCTGGGGACTTGCTTGAATGTTTCAGGCCAGTTCCTGTTACAAAGAATTAACTTGCCCTTTTTCTTTCTTTTTTTTTTTTTTTTTTTTTTTTTTCTTTTTCAGTTGAGTCTTTTGTTATAAATTCAGCTTTTAAACCACTAAATGAACAGAGTAACTGAATTTCTCTTTCCTCCTGGTTTTTACACATTGGAGTAAATCTCTGCAAAGTCATGTTACTATAAGTGTTGAAAGGGACAGAGACATGTTTTTGCAGGCTGTCAATCAGCCACCTTTCACCAGCAAAAATATGTGTGTAGCAAAAGTACTCTAAACTTTTTGACTATGTAGAAACTAATACTATTACTTCTTTTTAACCTTTTTTTCCCTTATTTTTCTTCTTCTTTTTTTTTTTTTTTTTATTTCCCCAGGAATAAGCATATCTGTGGAGGTACTTTGATAAAGGAAGAGTGGGTTCTAACAGCAAGGCAGTGTTTTCCTTCTCGGTACAGTAGTCCGTAGCTTTGCAATAATGAAATACATGTATTTTCAGAAACTTATCAGCACAACACTTCTTCAACTTAAATGTAGCAGTATTTCCTCCTGTTTGGCTTTAACACTGCTTTTCTGATGTGAAAGTCCTGTGGGACCTTGTTTTTTTCTGTTATTATTTTTGTTCATCTAAAAGAGCTCTGGCTATTTTACATAGATGTATAATATGATTTGCAAGTGTAATAGTTAGACAATTGCCTCTTTATGAAAATAATCTTATCCTTCTGCTTAATTGGACAGAATAAAATAGAAAACTTGGGCAAATCTCAAAAAGTTCAGAGGTTCATACTGTCTAAGGATCTAAATGTTTGGATACTATTAGGAAACAAAAATTAGATTTTAGTAACAGTTAAAGATAAAATTCTGTAGCGGCTTCAGACCAAAAACTTACATCCAAGCATGTTGATTTTGGAATAGCAGCTGGCAGCATGAACCCATTTCTGGTGAAGAGTACTAGTTAAGGTCTTCTAGCATAATCATATTACACAGAATTTTTTGAGTTCTTTCATTATATATTCAGCAAATCCTGACCAACTTTGCCTCATTTAGGTACAAAGATTTGAAAGACTACAAAGCCTGGCTTGGAGTCCATAATATCAAAGGAAAGGGAGAGGCGAAGCATAGACAAGTTCTGAATATCTCCCAACTGGTATATGGCCCCCCAGGGTCAGATTTGGTCTTACTGAAACTTAGCAGGTTAGTAGATGATATTGTGAATATCAGAATTTTCAACTGATAAATGAGATTCTTTCTAGATAAGATTTACAAATTCAGTTCTCTGCTATGATAGTGCAGGTGATGTCTCCATGGGGTAAACTTCCGATTGTAAGAAATCTTACTTGATATATACAGAAATGCAGGTTCATCTACCTTACTCAGAAAACAGATATTACTTCTGAAAAATTGTGCTTGCATTTTTTTCCTGATAACCAAGTTTAGATTTGTTGGGAGATTTATTTTTTTTTTGTTGACTAGTATGTAGTTTAATTTCTAGAGTAAGCACCAGATTGTAACTGAGATCTTTGTGTATATATCAGCTTTCAAACTTTCTCTGTATTAGCGAAACTATATATTCAAATGAAATGCCATCATTACTTACTTTTCAGATGAAAACCCCAGTTAAATAGCATAAAACTGGTGACAGCATTTCAAGAAATCTTTTGACAGTTAACAGTTGTAGCACAAAAAATAGGTAGAAGAATACATCATATTCTTCAAAGATGGAAAAGAAGGGAAAAGAATTGGTACAGTTTTTAATTGCTGTGGTCTATAATAGATTTAACATAGTTTTTAAGATACATTTTAGAAGGTTAAGTAAAATCCCTTACATCTATTATTTGTTTTCTCTTTTCAGACCTGCTATATTGACAAATTTTGTAGAAATAATCCGATTGCCCATTTCTGGATGTACCATTCCAGAGAAGACCAGTTGCAGTATTTATGGATGGGGATACACTGGATGTAAGAAACTATTTTTAAAAACTAAATGAATACGTTGGCAGCTTACTTCCTCTTGTCATTATAGGTGAGGCTGCTGGTATTGCCTGATGCCATGGTTGTCCAACAATTTTTGTTACAAAATGCAGTTTCAATTCTTTTCTAATTTTGTAAACCTTTAGGCATTTTATCTAAAATGGTTTAATAGAAAATATTTTCTACAAGTTCATCCTTCTTTTTCTTTCAGTGACAGGCAAAATAATTCAAACATTTCAAAGAATGAACTAGAGAAAAATATTGTTCTAGATGTTTAAAAATTCTGGCAGAATTGTTTTGCAGAGTTCTAACCAATTCATCTACTTGAGCAGTCTCTTTCTCTATCCCAAAGCAAGCCACCCTGTGGAAAAACTAGTACAGAACCATATAGTCAAGACATAATTAACATACACAAAGACAGTGAACTAAGGATGCACAGGCAGCCCTAAGTCTGGCATTTCCTAACTCCTGAGTACTTGACTTTGCAACCTTACTAATGTTTATTAAACACAGTTTTTGTGTGAAGTAAATACAAATATGTGGGAGAACAGATATTTATTTAGTCTGGTAAATACTATATCTAGCTAATTAAGTGCTGATAAAGTTAATAGCTGCCAGTTGATAATAATTACTCCAATAATTGCTGTGCCTAAATGTCATTTTGCCACAGACCTTGAGTAAGTAACAGCAACATACTCACGCTGTCCTGGAAGCAGAGCAAAAACTAGACTGTAATTCTGAGGTTCTCTTCCCTGTAACCACTACTCTACATTTCTTTGTGGGTGGCAAGTAATCTGTACCAGCCCTCTCCCAGATGACTGCCTTTGATGTTCCCAGCACGGCCATATTAGCCATGCTTTGGTGGGAATGGCTGTCTGGGGGACAGGGAAGTCAGGCTGGAGCATGGTGCAGCATCACAGGAAAGCTTAGCTTAAGAGAACTTATAAGCAATTTGCAATGTTGTGGAGTTATATAACACAGTAAATACCATAACATCTGTCATCCGAGCACTTTGTAGTATATTTTATGCACTACTTATTATAATCCTCACAGCATCCCAGTCAGGGAAGGAAAAAAGTGTTACATCCATTTTTTTAAGAAAATAGGGTAAGTCAGTGAAGGGCAAGCTTGACATTTTCTTTTGATGGCTGTGCAGAGAACGGGCAGGTCCAGGCCTTTTATTTATCTTTGCAGCTTGTACAGACTTGTCTTTTGACAGGTAGAACAAGAGTAAGCTCCACAGGGCTCCTGTTTCCTGACCTTCACACTGATGAATGGAGATTGCAAAAGGCTGTGGCTCTGCCCTTGCAGGCACAAAGTCATTCAGTATAGCTGAGCCAGCACAGAATGAGAAAAACTCTGCTCTGCTACACTATTTTTCAAGTCACACGTCCTTCCCTAGGTCCATGGTAGGCACTGTTACACATTAACTTGTGTTTAAGGTAGGGACCAAAATCCTTGCTCCAGTGACGGGAGCCATAACATTCTCGGGCTCACTTTTTCTGATTTCTCTGACGTGACAGGGCAAGTTGGTGGTGAACTGTAAAGTAAACCCAGTTACCTAGCTCTTTCTTCTAATACAAAAGACTTCTCAGATATTATCAAAGAAGTGAACAGATGTGCGCAACAAACAAATTTCTTGCAAACCTCATTAGCAGCAAATATAAGAAATCCAAAAGACAAATGCATGATAGTAGTAAGGATGGACAAAAATATGAGTACTGGAGAGAAAGTACAATAACTGAAGTTACATGAATAACGTTATCAGACTTCATCTTCAATTATTTTTTTTTCCTGAAATAGAATAAAGTTTTCATTCTCTTTTCAATCCTAGTAACTAATTATGATGGCCTTCTCCGGGTAGCAAACCTGTTTATTTTGGGAAATGAGAAATGCAACCAATATCTCAAAGGGAAGATCACTGTGAATGAGTCAGAAATCTGTGCTGTGGCTGAAACCATTGGTGCTGGGCCTTGTGAGGTAAATATTACATTTCCTAACACATTCTTAGGAGCCATCAGCCTGGCTATTTCTTTCCCAGAAATAATTTACTGGAATTTTTTATAAATGCTCTCTCTGCATTAGACTTGTACACAAAAAATATTTTTAATCTTTTGCATTGGAAAACAATTTGTGTTTCTAGTGATCTATGTTCCGCCAGAGTGCAGGAAGAGATTCCTTTGCTCCAATTTCACTGTACTACTTCCTCAGTAAAGGACTTACATGAATGTTAAATATACTTATATGACTGAACACTGTGCTAGACTGAGACAAATTTGTGTTCTGTATAATAAGGGCTAAAGAGGGCTGTATGCTAGCAACAGCATTATATTTTGATTGAGTAGAAAGCAAAGGCTGGAGTAAATGTAACTACTTGCATGCAAAATACAAAAAAGTCACTGCTTGATCAAATTGATAAAGTTATGAAGGAAGAAGAAAGATCCAAAAATGTACTGAGGTTCAGTATTAGTCAGAAGGCTGGAGAGTTTGTTCTCCCTAATCAAGCCTGAGCAACATACCAGTGAGGACAGGAGAACTATTTCAGTGAATGTATAGTTTCATACAGTTGTTTTGCTTGGGACTAGTTTTGATGATGGAGAAAAGACATCTGAGGAGAAATACTGTAAATCATTTATTACAGGAAGATATCAATTTTTGTGTGGAAAATCTGCCTGATAAGATATGTCTAGAAGGAGTGTATTCATGAACATTATTATGCATTTAATATCTGGAGTAGAACAGATGATTTCCTAATACTGATGTTAACCAAGTAGTGAAATTTCCCTACCCAAGGGTACTACCAAACCATGGGGAAATGAGGTCTTCATCAGGCTGAGACCTCTTCTATTTATTATTAATATTCCACAGAATCTTTTTGTTATTGTGAAGTATTTTCTTTAAAATCAAATATTTAATCCTAAATAAACTCTTAGACATGTCAAGTCTTATAAACGAAACATCTGCGTGGAAGTCTGCTGGGGATTCTGCACTTTATTTTCCCCTGCAAGAAGAAATGGACTGAATTAATATTAGCAATCAGTCTTAATCACTGCATAGGTTCCTGCTCCCTGAGTTCCCCTTTGAAGCTACTTTGCTCAGCAAAGAACAGGCAGAGAAACAAAATGGGACTGGCAGCTGAAACTCCACTCCTGAAAGTGTTTTATGAGCTGCTCTGATGGTACTGACATAGTTTATTGTTCATGTGGGAACTAATCTGCAGTCAGACAGAAAAAAGTAACCCAAACCAAATAAAGGTCAAGCATTGTTGTTTCTCTGGTGATCCAGAGAGAATATAATGCTAATTGTCAGCTTTTATTTTTTGAAACCATGTCTCACTACCCAACATGAACATTCACTGTCTAGTTTTACAGTTTGCGAGGTTCAGTATACTTTTCGTCTGGGTAAAAACTGCTGTGTCTGTGTTAAAGTCCCAAATCAATGTGAATGTATCTAAATTACTGATTCAATCTAATTTAAACTGTGATTTATTTTAGTGCTAAATAAGACCCTGATCTGAGTTGGCCATACTCCAAATTTTCACTGAATGTATGTACTGCTGCATAGATGTCTCATCCACTCAGAATAACGAAAAGGAGTATTTTAACAAGTTATATCTCAAAGTTACGTCTATATATTACCTTTTAATATGTTTGAGATTCTTTTTTTCCCCCACCCCTGTCAACTACTAGTACACATAGATTCTCATCCTAGGGCCTTGCAAGATGATTGACTGACAGAAGGATATTAACCTGGCTCTGTCAGTAGTCTTTGATGCAAAGCATGTTATCAGAACAAACATGTTTATCTGTCACCTCACTTTCTGCTCATCTGGTTTATATGCACATAAACAAATATTATGCTTGCAGGTAGCTGAAAGAGGAGAGTAAGATCTGGTAGTCTGAAGCCACTAGAATCACATGTAAATACGGATCACAGGGTTTATTTCGCATGGGAAGAAACCAAAGGTCAAAGGTCAACCTTAACATTGGTTCTCATAAGCTCTGATTGTGAAAAAGGTATTGGAAGTTGTTTTTTGTGCTATTGCAAGAGCAACTCTATTGCCTATTCATTGAACTAGGTCATCCCCAAAAGAAATCAATCAGCAGGAGACAGGTGGGAGTAGTGTCTTGAAGCATTTTGAGAAGTACATTCTTTATTTTTTCCTAGCGAGATTATGGTGGTCCCTTGGTATGTGAACAAAACAGGCTGAAGATAGTAGTTGGTGTCATTGTTCCTGGCCGCGGATGTGCCATTCGAAATCGTCCTGGGATTTTTGTTCGGGTCTCATATTATTCTCGGTGGATACACAAGATTATGATGACCTACAGAAAACCCTGAAAAACTCAGCAACTTCCATTCAAAAGAAGATTTTGGACAGCATGGAATTAATATGTAACATAAAGATCAACAATTTTTTAATTACTTGATAGTCAAGTTTGTTGAGCTTCTTTTAATATTTATGGGTGTTTTGGGGTGTTTTTGTCTACCTGTGTTGTTTTATAAATGTTGGAATGACTTACAGTATACGCAAGTATGGTGACATATCTCCTGAAGATACTTGAATGGGTAAACAATTTTGCAAAGATATTATTACTGGATGATAAATGGTGTCGTAGAAATGATCACACGACCTATTTTATGCTGCTCTTCAGATTATCTTAGAAGGAGAAACAAGTTAGAGTTTTATTTAACACATCTTATTCTTTTTATGAGCCATATATTTCTCTTCATATATGACAAAAGATCTACTGAGAGATATATGCATCTGTCAAGGACAGCATATATGATCATACTTCTCTTCCCCACTTTTAAGAGGTCAAAGACTTCAATATTTCATTAAAAAATAATCTCTTTAGAAATTAATCTTTTCATTATTGATGGACTTTGACAAACCTGCCATAAGCAGAGTTCTCATAGAAGTCCATATCACTTCCTTTTACACAGCGTTTGTAGACTCTAGTTCTGCATTTGGCTCCTTCTGTGTGTATGTGTTCCCCTAACAGATATCTCAAAAGCCCTTTTGGATGAGAGAAGACACGGAAGTGGATTGGTTAGTAAACTATCGATTGTTTGTATAAAGTTAGTCCTAGAAATAGCTATGAATTTACAATGCTAGAAGGAGTATTTCATGCAGTTTGAAAAATTAATCCTGATTAGCTATTGGCAGACTTTGGCCATTAAAAGAAATTTCAGTCAAATATGCCCAATCTTTCTCGACAGACAAGTGTTAAAAATTCAGTTGATTCTAGTTATTTCATGAAAGTAACTCTATTTACAGCAGGAAAAAGAATATTTGAATCTGGCACCTGACTGAGAGTCTTAATACTGGGAAAAGTAAGTTATACATTAATAGTCTTTCAGAAACTCAAGATCTTTAATAAAACTTACCTAGATTTGGACAAAATTATATCCTTTGTATAATTCCTTTCAGGGTAATAAAATTATTGCAGAGATTGATATGATCTTGTATGTAATATGGAAAACATCACCAATAGTTTATTAGCTTGTGTTTCCTGCCTGTATGTAGAACTATCATTTTCCTTTATGTTGATGGGGAAAGGGAACAACTAATCAGCATCCATGAAAAGCACTTGTTCTCCTTTAGGCATTTAGTTGTATGGCTGGAAGTATTATACAAATATGTTGTTATAGGTGGCACCGATTACCCTGTAATTTCTGGAAAATTAATACAACATATATCCAATTGTTAGTTTTACTACTGTACATGTAATTGCCTAAGTAACTGCACTGTTACTTCACTTGTGACTGTGTAATTGTAAATGTTTCCAGTAGCAATTTGTATGGTATGTGTATCATATCTAACTGCATAGCCGCTAAGCTGACATCATGGTGTAGACATATAAAAGGACATTTCATTCAGAAGATGCAGGGTTGAATTCTGCCCTGGCAGAAAGTAACCACTTCAGGGTAGCTGTCTTGGGAAGCAGCCCTCCTGTTGACTCACCAAATCATTTTCTTCAGCAGTGCACTTTGTCTTCAGTGGGACTCAAATATGCTTGCATCTCCTGGTGAACTGGGATGATTTTCAGCCCATGCTTAAGTGGCTTGACTTGCTGAGATCTGTGTCAAGCATCCAGCAGATTCTGCTGGCACATAGGAAGAAGTCTTTCAGCAAGTAGAGCTTCTGAAATTCCTCCTGATGTAAATAGTCTCTTTGGACAAGATGTGACTTCTCTGTACAGCGGATCTGAGGTTGTGGATGCTACGCAGATAGTCTGTCTCCATCTATTCTGGCTGCCTCTGAAGGCTTTATTCTCTTTTTGAGCTCTCTTACTAACCAGGCCTAAAGAGGGCAGGATCTAGCGTGTTGTATTTACAGTTAATTATTGCAATGTATGTGAAGAGTGTATTCTTACTAAGTATATACTGACCATATGTTATTGAAAGGATTAACTTTTTAAGAGAGACTTTTAAAAAACTCCAAGTGAGTTTTGTTTTCAGTCACAGGTAGAATGTGGATAAAATATGCAATTCCATGTTCACTCTTTGTATTCTAAGAATTGTTATGTGCTCACTGTATTATATTTGCAGGCATTTTGTTATGTCTATCTAAAAGAATTGAATCCTAAAATATTTTAGTTATAAGCTTCTGCTGTGCAGAAGACTGTGATTTTTATATATATATATACCCCATATATATATATA